TGCGTGTGAGCGCGTAGGAATGCATCTCTTGTGGTTGTGAGTAATTTTTCCAGAGCTCAGGTCTGAGGCAGCAACAGAGTTTTATGAGGACAGCGTCCTGGTTTGAACTCTCTTTTGGCGCCCCCTCCTCCCCTTCTCTCTATCACATCTTCTCCAGTTCCTCCCACCACTGGGCTCATCTTCTTCACGTTTCCTTTCTGTCAATTAGTTTTAAATACCCAGCTTCACATTTCAGGCCTACATGGAGATCAGAGACAAAGGTGGAAGAAAGCACAAAGGGAACATTTTTGGGAACATAAATTGGAAACATTAAGATGTTGGCAAACATGATATACCTGTCTTATGTATAGATAAGGAAATTCTTCCTGCAGATCACCAGATTTTTTCCTCCGTTCTGGTAAACATGAAGATACTTTTTCTTAAGTAAAATAAATGTATGAACTTTTATTTATGTTGTTTGTTTCTGAAACATCCAAATGTTTGAATATAAATATTAGGAGAGCTAACAGGCGATGATGTGTGGCAACACGCATTTATTTCCTTGTTTCTACGTAATTATGGTTTTGTTGCATCGGTAATTTGCCATGCACGAGTTTATTTGCTGTCTGCTCCACAGACGTGTTGACAGCAGAACTCTGAGGAGGAGTTATTTTCTGTAAACCTGGCCATCTGGATGTGGAAATATGTCCTTTTGTTGCTTTCCTTTGCTCCATCTGCACACTTACTTTGGAATGAAACAGTAAACCGTTTAGTTGGATTATTGAATGGGAGCTGAGGCTTCGTTGTCGTGTCCTAACTGGGATGACTGGTCAGTTTGGCTTCTCTGAGACACATACAGCATACTTGCATTTGTTTTGCAGCCTTTGTGTTTTCTGCAGGGGTGTACAGCATTTGTCAGTTGTCACCTGCAGGGCGTGTTTATGTCTTCTTAGCTACTTTTTAAAATTAGCTGCGATAAAATCAGATTTTAATAACTAATTTGATCAACGTTTCCTGGGGAATTCCAGTTCCTTTGCAAGCCCGACAGGAAAGAGATCCAGTGCAAACTAAAAATAGGATCAGCTTTTTTTTTATTTCTGGAGTTTATTTTAGCTATTAGCCATGCATTAGGGATTATCTATTATCATTTGACCATCTGACACCTCCTTTTACCCATTATATTGTAACGCCTTTATTACTGTTACTGCAGAATATTGTTGACCGCAGTAGAAGGTGAATTCCTTAAACAGCACACTTGTTTTTCAGTTATTTTGTAAGATAAAGAACATTTGCAATCATGTGAATCTTTTTAGTCCATCTGGAAAACAGTAAACAGATGTTGCAGATGTATTCAAAATGTGTATTACTCATGCTTAACTCGAGTGCCAAATGCTCCTGTGCTGTTTTTGTTTTTTGTTGGGAAGACTCCAAAAGGATTTGTTTTAGTGGGGTCCACCGTGGCCTTCCCTGAAGTGAAGGGAGAAGAAAACCTACAATTTCTTAACACATGTCAAATGTCAAAAATATGCATATAAAATACATTTACTATAAATATGTCAGCTTTGCTTAATTGTGTGTAATCTTATTTACTCATCATTTTCACCAGCTGTCTCTCATAAAACTGTGAATTTCCTCCACCGGACTCAGTAGCTTCACCCCTAGGATGCTGGAAAAAGCGCCCCTGAACTGCAGCTAAACAGCCCATCATATTTGGTTGCTAGGGAGAACCAAAGAGTTTTATAGCCAATCAGCATTGCGTAATTTAAGGTCTCTGGGGTGCTGTCCGACAGCGCCCCTGCCACAGGAAATTTCTAGCTAACATGCTAGAAAGGCACTGGACTTCCTTTCCCCTCTCTCAGACATTCTTTCACATAAACTCACTGTTGATTTATGTAGATGGAGCTAAAATCAGTTGTAGCTGCTGCAGTAAAATGTTCTTATTCGTTTTCATATTATATGAAGTAAATGCTCAAACAGGAAATCTAATTCAATTTCTGTGTAGGGTTAGTGCCACCTACACCCTGGGCGACGGTGGCACAGGAGTTAAGTGCTCGCCCTGTAATCAGAAGGTTGCAGGTTCGAGTCCCGCTCAGTCTGTCGCTTTTGCCTGGTGGTGGTGGTCGGAGGGACCGGTGGCGCCAGTGCTCGGCAGCCTCGCCTCTGAAAGTGCGCCCCAGGGCAGCTATGTCTACATCATGGCTCATCCCCACCAGGGTGTAAATGTGTGTGTGAATGGGTGAATGACTGATTGTGTTGTAAAGTGCCTTGGGGGGTTCCAGGAACCTAGAAAGCACTATATCAAATACAGGCTATTTACTATTTACTGGTGGAACGGACTATTGAGCTTTCAGATGCACGGCTTTGAGCAGGTGATTTAGACACGCAAGCTGCTGGAGACTGAAAACTGAAGCTGGAAAAACGAACTAATGTCAACATGAAATTTGAATAAGGATTTAAATGGAAATTATGGACTGCATTTGCACTTTTGTTTAGTAGAAAGGTTCACAGTAGGGTTATGTGTGTATCTGAGTAAAATAATAGTTTAAAATATCTGTAAATTTGACAAGTGACTTTCTCTGTAAAACTAAAGGGAAATCTTTTCACACATAAACCCACCAATAATTTTTTTCACAAGCCGCCACAAATTTGTATGTTTCTCAACAACACATTCAGTGAATTTAACACATCTTTAGTCGTTGTAGAAGATCTTATTACAACAGGTTGCCAGTACTCATTTTATTATATAATTAAAGTGGCAACGTGTATTTTCCCTGGCGATAGGGGGCAGTATGTACCTAAATCATAGCAAGCTAGCAGTATTTTTGTGTTTGTGCCATTAGGGTCAAAAATCCCTGGGAGCACAACGTCCAGCAAAATGACAAACACATCGGACTCCCTTTCATCACTGGCAACGAATGAGGAGATACATATGTAAAACAACTATGTTTATTAATGGAGAATTTTTGTCACTGTTTTTTTTACAAATCAGAAAAAGCGTTTTATCCTCACAGGCTCCCGTAGAAGGAACAATGGACTCCAACATGGCATCGTCCTTAGACCCGCTCCCATGTCTTTCAGACCCAATTTTTATGGTTATATGTTACGAAACCACCAATATTTTACAACTGGGCATCATTTAATTAATTTTTCAGAAATTAATGGTAAAAACTGCACGTTGTCTCTTTAATAAAATTATCATAAAGCTGTATATTATTATTGTTACGCAGTAAACCGCATATTGTGTCGCATATCAAGATGTAAAAGGGTTATTGATATTTACAGTAGAGTGTAAACATCTTGCAAGCACAGCATGTGAGGTATTTTGGAGCGTCTGAAACTTCAGTAACACCACAACTCTGGCTATTTTCCCACAATGCAAAGCAGTTGTGATGAACATAATTAAAAGCTGCTGTTTCTTAATTATGCTAACAGCATATGTAATGTTTCACTCATATAAAAACACTGCCTAATTAACATTAATAAAGGTTTATTTGATTCAATCAGACAGAAACTGCAGGATTGTTTTTGTTTATGCATATTTTCCTGTTAGTATCTCATTAGGTTTGATGGATCCTCTCCACTACTGTGTGTGAAGTGGTGACGATCAAAGAAAACTTCATGAAGAATAATTGTTGTTTCTGCTTTTTAATGTTCTGAGATGTATGTTGCTGGCAGCATTAAAAGGATTTCACTCATTTTTGTGGCGATCTGTTTTTGCTCATCTCAGAATGATTGGCATATTTTGGTCTTTAGATTTTGCGGGAGTGGATCTCTCTGCACGGGCATGTAAATACTTATAAAAAGCCATCAGAGAATGTGTTGGAGCTCGTCTGTCCTGTTTAGCTGTAACAAAAAGGCATGCATTGCTTGGTGCTGACAGCCGAGGCTCCAGGGCTGAGCTAGTGTGATTGCTCTGTCATCTCTATTGACTTATTAACGTAATGCATTAACAGCAGGTCTGTCTGCCCTGCCTCTGTACCACGATGCAGCGCTAAACACCCTGTGTGGCAAAAACTACCTGCTTCTCTAAAATTTTCTGTGAATCTCATAATGAATAATCTAACAGGTTTGTCTTAAATTGGTTGACCATGGTGGTCACATACATCCATTAAAACACTGACGCATATTATTTTGAAGTAATTTCCTAATAAGGCTGCGATTAAGCTGAAGTTGATGTTTCAGTGGGTGCTATTTGATGGTAATTGTTTGCAAAACCCTCTGATGAATATTTATTGTGGTAAGAAGGTGTGTAATGCTCCTCTGTGGCTCTGTAGATTTGTTAAGAAGCCTTTTTGTGCTCATTTTCAGGTGCATTGTTTAATTTCTACAGCTACTGTATGTGAGCAAGTCTACATACATGTGTGTTAAAAGCTTACCATTTTTTTCTTGTGGTGCACATTGTCACGTTTGACCTGAAATACTACATTTTAACAAAAGTAGCTGTAACAAATTAGAATGATTCAACAATATGAGAAAACAGAGGGGTGCAGAAATTACATTCACGTGAGAGTTTGAAGACTGAAGCCTCAGTTGACCAAAAAAAAAAAAAAACACAAAATCAAAAAACATCTTCTAAATTCCCAAGATTGAAGAGTCAAAAAGGGAAATTTTGGGAGGTGTGTGTGCCATTACATTTTGGTATAAAACTAGCAACACATTTAAAGCCTAATTTATACTTCTCCGTCTGAGATGAAGGTTTTGGAGCAGCTTGGTGAAAATCCAAATATAAATGTAAATTGAAAAGCGAACAATGACCTTAAACAGGTCAATCATGCCCAAGAAACTTTGAAGAGCGTTATTGTTGACAGTGCTGCTTGTTTTTTCAGTTGGCCAAGTCAGTGGTCAAAAAAGTGATGTAATTAAAGTTGGCAAACATCGTCTGTTGTATTATTTGGGTTGGTTGGAGTATTGTCCAACCAAAACGAGCACTTTTTCTGCAAAAGCACATTTGTAAACGCTTGACCCGCAAGTTTCTGTTTCTGTAGCATCTCACCTGTTTTTGTGTGTGCGTGTTTTTCCAGAGATGGACAACCCAGAGGCCCGTGTGACAGAAATCCACGCTCTTGTGCACAGGCTACCTGAGAAGAACCGGCAGATGCTGGAGCTGCTGATGAAACACCTGGCCAAGTAGGTGGAGATGAGACATAGATGGTGTAGTTTGATGTGACCCTTTCTTCCTCATAGTTATCTCACTGAGAAAGAAAAAAAATCTGGCACCAATTATTACGAAGGAAAAAATATATGTATATATTATATATATACATATCTCATTATTTACGTTAAATATTTGGCACCAATTCAACTCCATACCTGATTCAGAAATACAATGACACTCCTCTCCTTTTTGAGGTGATTACAAAACCGGAGAACACTTTTCTGCAAACATCTGTTTTTGTGAATAAATAAAAGCCATTATAGATGTTTCAGTTTTTTTTTGTTAATCTTACATTACCAGAATTATTTGAATCAAAATTTCACATGAGTTGAGAAAATTAGAAAAGAAAGAAAAAGGTAACAAACCAATGTTTGTTTTTGTGTGATAATTCCTCCAAAGTATCCATGTGTATCCTATCCTATCTGCATTTAAGCCCTGTGGCTTTATCAGGCTTTTCTTCTCCAGCAGCAGAGTGGTACAATCTGTGATTAATGGGCCATCAGCCATGTTTGTCTCACATGTGGGTGAGTGCATGCAGGCCTTTTGAAGACGGGCGCATTTACATGGGTTTAGTGGATTACATCTAACTCAGGCCATCATTGTCACTAGCTTAGATAAGATGATGGGATCACAGCACACCTTGGCTTTCTGTTAGATCTGGTCTGAAGGTTCAGAGCTGCAGGAATTATTAAATATTAAAGCAAATCTGCAAAACAAGCTAGCTTTTAAACACAAACTCTCACCCCTCTGTCAGCTATCATCCCTAGGCGACGTCCCCCTGATATGGGAACCTGCATTACCACAATAAACAGGATGGTACTTAACACCAGTCATTATTTTCTAGGTCCAAACATCTTTTGTTGTTGGTGACTTCTAATGGTGTTTTTCTTTCTGGGACCCTGGTAGTTTTTCCAAAAGTTGAAGTGGTAGCAGCTGGCTGTTTCTCCTTCTCTGATATTATTAAGCAGAAGAGCTCTCACACCGGTGGGGTATGTTGCTAGATACGCAAGTGCGTGAAAAATGGAGGACCCGGGGAAGTGTAGTTGCTCTGTGAAATGGACAACCATTGGTCCAATCATTAGTTTCGGACCGAGCCATGTTATTGGCTGAGGTTTTTTTGATAATTGCGAGAGAACCACGTTATAATTTATTTTATTTAAATTTTTTCACTCCACGGGTATTAGATTAAAATATTTTTATATGTATATTTTAAAAAATATATATATATATTTAATTACATATATTACAGGTCAAAGATTATTGTTCTCATTATTTACTAGTACTTTGGTTTGCCGTTGTATTCTTTCTTTGTGCATTCTAAATGATTAAATCAAGTTTTGTCCTCTGTTCAGCTTTTGGATGTAAAACAGAAATAAATACAAAACACAAACTACTATTCTCTGTGTACTGCATTTCTGGATGAATTTATTGTTTCTCAGACAACATTTTGTCCTTTTCTGACCTCTGCACTCAGACAGGTGATGCTCCTTCTTGACTGTCCCCTTTTAGCCTTTTCGCCGAGGTTCTTGCCAGGCTTTTTGATTTACAGTAGGTTTTTATGACTTTATACATGACGACAGCTGTAGCCAGAGGCATTAAGCCCATCTGTCGTTCCCATTCTTGTGAGGGCAATACCTCTTAAAGGCCTTGTGGGAGTTTCTACGGATGTGACCTAATCATCCGCATCAACTCAAGGATGAACTGATTAGATTGTAGAGATCAAAGGGCACAGTGATTCTGTAGGTCTTTAAGTAACTTCCACATTTAAGGAACAAACAACTAAAATGTTTAAGGTTGTCCTTTCTCTCATGCATTTTCACAAATGTATTCAGTGACATGATGTGTCAAGTAAGGTTGGGCAACTGAATGAATGAATCAACCATCTGTGGTGGGCCAGGCCCTTCCCCTATCATTCTTTTGTGAATACATTTTAGAATGACCCCACTGACTCAGACCGGATGTGTGTGTGTGTGTGTGTGTGTGTGTGTGTGTGTGTGTGTGTGTGTGTGTGTGTGTGTGTGTGTGTGTGTGTGAGTGCGTGCGTGCGTGCGTGCGTGCATGCATGCTCATGCGTGGGTGGATGGTGTGTGGACTAGTCAGGGTTCAGCTGCACTCTGTCGCATCAGACTGCAAACTATGGCTCTATCTGGCATTCATTCAAAGTTTGGATGTTCCCAGTATATCCTGGAATGTTACATGTGTTCTCCAACATTCTTCCATGTTTTCCTCTTGTCCAGCAAGGACATTATCGTTAGTCCAGGCTAGCTTTAGCAGCTGCTCAGGCTAGTGTTTTCTGCTGTTAGCAGTACCCCGACCAAAATGTATGTACCCAACAATGAAGTGGGTTTGGACAAGCAGATTTACTGTGGTGTGTCTAAGCTCATGACGTGTTAACCCAGCTCAGAATGAACGGTTTCTTCATGGCCATTACAAATGTCTAATTTAGATGAGGAAGCAGATCAGAGACGGCACCAGCTTTTTGGGTTGCTACATTAGACACTGGAGTTCCTTAAGGCTCTGGATGTGGGGCTGTAATGGTTGACGCAGCTTTGCAGTATTGTGTAGACATCGGGGCAGTTCCACTGGGGTGGTGGTCCACCCCGCAGAGTGTGTTCTAGCTACAAGAGGATCACTCTCCCGACCATCCCTGTTAAGATCTGTGCAGGGGTTCTGGAGAGGAGGGTCTGTTGGATTGTCGAACATCAGATTCACGAGTAGCATTGTGGTTTTTGTCCTGGCCATGGAACACTGGACCAGCTCTATACCCTTAGAGGGGTCCTGGAGGGGGTACTTTCGGTGTATGGGGTACCAGCAGTATTGGGAAAGTTTGTTTAAAAACGAACTAGTTTAAAGTTCAGTTCATACATTTTAAAACGAACTAGTTCGTTTCTTAGTTCATAATTAAAAACAATTTGAACTAAGTTAACTGTTCCAAAAACGAACTAGTTCATAGTTTTTTTTCTCCTATATATATGTATATTTATATATGCCTCTCCCTGGGCTGCCACCTTACCGTGGTGGAGGGTTTTGAGTGTCTCAGTGGTCCTAGGAGCTAAGTTGTCTGAGGCTTTCTGCCTCTGGTAGGGTCACCCATGACAAACAGGTTCTAGGTGAGGGATCAGAGCAGCCCGAAGACCTCTTATGATGAATTATATAAATGGAAACCGTGTTCCCTCGCCCGGAAATGGGTCATTTGGACCCCCTCTGGAGCCAGGCCTGGAAGTGGGGCACGTTGGCGAGCGCCTGGTGGCCGGGCTTTCACCCATGGAGCCATGGGTCACTGAGGTCCCTGAGGTAGTTAAAAAGCTCCTCTGTGGCAAGGCTCCAGGGGTGGATGAGGTCCGCCCGGAGTTCCTTAAGGCTCTGGATGTTGTGTTGGCGCGGCTCTGCAATATCGCGTGGACATCGGGGGCAGTCCCACTGGACTGGCAGACCGGGGTGGTGGTCCCCTTATTTAAAAAGGGGGACCGCAGGGTGTGTTCCAACTACAAGGGGATCACACTCCTGAGCTTTCCTGGTAAGGTCTATTCAGGGGTTCTAGAGAGAAGGGTCCGTCGGATAGTTGAACCTCAGATTCAGGGGGAGCAATGTGGTTTTCATCCTGGCTGTGGAACACTGGACCAGCTCTATACCCTTAGGGGGATCCTGGAGGGTGCGTGGGAATTTGCCCAACCAGTCTACATGTGTTTTGTGGATTTGGAGAACTTGTTTGACCGCATCCCTCAGGGGGTCCTGTGGGGGGTACTCCAGGAGTATGGGGTACCAGGCCCTCTGATACGGGCTGTTAGGTCCCTGTATGACCGGTGTCAGAGCTTGGTCCGCATTGCCTGCAGTAAGTCGGGCTCGTTCCCAGTGAGATTTGGACTCCACCAAGGCTGCTCTTTGTCACCGATTCTGTTCATAACCTTTGTGGACAGGATTTCTAGGTGCAGCCAAGGTGTGGAGGGCATCCGTTTTGGTGGCCTGAGGATCAGGTCTCTGCTTTTTGCAGATGATGTGGTCCTGTTGGCTTCATCAGAACGTGATCTTCAGCTTTCGCTGGAGCAGTTCGCAGCCGAGTGTGAAGCAGCTGGGATGAGAATCAGCTCCTCTAAATCTGAGACCATGTACTTGATTCGGAAAAGGGTATAATGCCTTCTCCGGGTCAGGGATGAGGTCCTGCCCCAAGTGGAGGAGTTTAAGTATCTCGGGGTCTTGTTCACGAGTGAGGGAAAACTGGAGCGTGAGATCGATAGGCGGATTGGTGCTGCATCTGCAGTGATGCGTGCGTTGTACCGGTCTGTCATGATGAAGAGAGAGCTGAGTCAGAAGGCGAAGCTCTCGATTTACCGGTCGATCTACGTTCCTACCCTCACCTATGGTCATGAGCTTTGGGTAGTGAAGCATAGCGAAGAAGTGGGAGCATGAAGAACGCTCTTCAGTGGCTTCCAGTGAACTAGCATAGAATTAAATATGCTAGTCTTTGTTTTCTGATCATTTGGTGGAACAGCTCCTCCTTCTTTATAATTACTCTTTGAAAAATACACTCCGTTAAGATCCGGGTGTGTCCGTGGTCCCCAGGTTTAGGCGTAAGGGTCAGGGCGATCGAGCATGGTGGTGTTAGGCAAGCAGACGTAATATTGTTACAAGAGACTCATAGATCTGCCAGATCCGCAGATGAACTTAAAACACCTGAGTTTCCCAGCATGTTCTCTGCCTGCTATAACTCTAGGCAAAGAGGTGTAGATATTTTAATACACAAAAACATCAATTTCACAGTATTGGACACAGTCTCTGATCCAGAGGGTAGATTTATAATGTTAAAAATATCTGTACAGAACCAAAGCTTATGTATTGTCAGCATATACTGTCCAAATATTGATGACCCTCCATTCTTTCATAATTTTTTCTCTGTACTCTCCGAACACTTGGACTGTCCACTTATACTTGGAGGTGATTTTAATTTTTGGATGAATTCCTTAACAGACAGGCTCAGTACAGCTGGGACTCAGCGCAATTGGCAATCCACTAATATAGTTAAACAGTACATGAGTGATTATGGGCTTTGTGATGCATGGCGATCTCTTCATCCTAACCGTAGAGAGTATACTTTTTTCTCACACGTCCATCACTCTCATTCACGTCTGGATTATTTTCTAGTCAGCAGCTCATTGTTGGCTGACATTTCAGACACTGAGATACACCCCATAGTTGTCAGCGACCATGCTCCGGTTTAATTAACTCTGGTAAATAAGAAGACAATCCCACCGAGCAAAAACTGGAGGTTTAATACATCACTGCTTAAAGATGAAGGTTTTATAGATTTTTTTAAAAAGGAGTGGGCTTTATATTTAGAACATAATGACCTGCCTGGAATGTCAGCATCGTTTCTCTGGGAGGCAGGAAAGGCAGTGATGAGAGGTAAAATAATCTCTTTCTCATCACATATTAAAAAAACGGAAAATAAACGTATTCAGGAGTTAGAAGAAATCATTAAGTCTTTAGAATCATCCACAGAAGAAGAGTTATACAGTAGAGTTATTTTTGTGAAGAGAAAGTTGAGAGACACAAGACCCAACACTCTGGATGAGCTTAAGGCCGCTATCGAAGCATCCTGGGCCTCCACAACACCTCAGCAGTGCCACAGGCTGATTGCCTCCATGCCACGTCGCATTGAAGCAGTCTTTTCTGCAAAAGGATTCCCCGATGGGATTCCCGACCAAGTATTGAGTGCATAACTGAATATAATTATTTGAAGGTTGACTTTTTTGTATTAAAAACACTTTTCTTTTATTGGTCGGATGAAATATGCAAATTTTTTGAGATAGGAATTTGGGGTTTTCATGAGCTGTATGCCAAAATCATCAATATTAGAAACAATAAAAGGCTTGAACTACTTCAGCTGTGTGTAATGAATCTAATATATATGAAAGTCTAATGTTTATCAGTACATTACAGACAATAATGAACTTTATCACAATATGCTAATTTCTTTAGAAGGACCTGTGTATATGTGTACATATATATATATATATATATATATATATATATATATATATATATATAGGATAAACTGAATAATTGATTGATTTACCGTATTTAGTGGGATTTAATGAAGAGTTCTGTTTTTTTCTTGTCCTTTGACCAAAGTGTGGCCAGTCACCACCAGTTTAACCTGATGACCATCGCCAATCTGGGAGTGGTCTTTGGGCCAACGCTGCTCCGCCCACAGGAAGAGACAGTTGCAGCCATCATGGAATTAAAGTTCCAGAACATTGTGGTGGAAATTCTTATCGAGCACCATGAGAAGGCGAGTGTGTGTTCATTTCGTGTTTTTGCAGAAATAAAGCACACACATATACAGACATGTACACACACACACACAAACCGTAAGTTTGGGCGACGGTGGCACAGGAGTTAAGTGCTTGCCCCGTAATCGGAAGGTTGCAGGTTCGAGCCCCGCTCAGTCTGTCGCTGCCGTTGTGCCCTTGGGCAAGACACTTAACCCACGTTGCCCGCTGGTGGTGGTCGGAGGGACCGGTGGCGCCTGTGCTCTGCAGCCTCACCTCTGTCAGTGCACCCCAGGGCAGCTGTGGCTACATCGTAGCTCATCACCACCAGTGTGTGAATGGGTGAATGACTGATTGTGTTGTAAAGTGCCTTGGAGGGCTCCAGGACTCTAGAAGGTGCTATATGAAATACAGGCCATTTACCATTTACCATTTACTTCACCCATTAAATGAAAGCAGTCTGTTGGCAGGGCAAACCTCCTCACCTGTCACCATGGCAACATCGTGTTTGTATGAGGCCCTGGTGGCGGACACAAGAGTGTTCAGTGAATGAATGGATAAATGACACATGTTCAACACAACATACACAGAGTTGCACACATGTAGGAGGATGCACGTTGACAACATGACGCACAGACAGAAAAACGTTTTTAGCCATTCCTCTTAGTAGGGATCTCTCATAAAATGTGTGAAAACAAACCAGTTAGAAACACTGTGATGAGGAAGCTCAATGCCATTTTAGAAGTTTCAAAAACAGTCTAATGGTTTGTTGAAATATCTTATTTAATCTTAAATTTTCAGTCATTTGCTCTGTTGAAGAAATGTTTTTTTGCACTTCTTTGCCAATAATTTTAATTCTTGAGTGAAATTGTGGATCAAAACAAGCAGAAAAATGTTACTAGTCGACATAAATCACCAAGGAAAAGATACCAGAAGCAGAAAACATTTCTTTAAACACCTCATGAGTATGAATACACAAAACTACTGCAGTGGTGCTTCTTCTTTTATCAATGAAGAAAGTGATTTCAGCAGCATTAGCTTGTTTTGGTCCATTTGCATTTTCTAAATGGGCACACTTTATTTAGGTGAATTTTTATTGGCCTAAACCAGTTCATGTCCATGCAGATTTTCAGGGACGTTCCTAATTCTTCAGGCAGTTCGACCAACATGCAGCTCAACCTGTCCAGGAGGAGAAGCACCCAAAACAAAGCACCTTCCTGTAGCGAGAGGCCTCTCACACTCTTCCACACACCTACACATTCCCAGAAAGGTGAGCTGTTCTAATATATTTTGTTTCTTAAAAAGACTCAATAAACTTATGTACATTTTAAATATCATTGCAAGAACAACGTTTCATGTCAGTGCCCAGTTTGACACAGAGTAATCCCTTTTTTATAGCTAAAAGTGTCAAAAAAGAATCATTACTATGCCTGTTTTAGGGGAAAAGAGGAACAGTGTTGGCAACACCCCAGCTGCTGATATGCAGACCCCAGTTTCTGCTTCTTCTTCTACTAACTGCACCAGCAGCAGCAGCAGCAGCAGTAGCGGCGGCAGCTACAGCCGAACTCCGAGGCACAGCCTCATCAGTAACGACGGGGAGCAGGAAGGCCGGCAAATGCGACCCAGCTCACTGTGAGTCATAGCGTTTAAACATGTGACCCTCAATTGATTCAGAAAACATTTTTTTAGAAGTAGGGATGTTTGATGTTATCGGCTACACTTTCAGCTGCAGATGGTTCAAAACGCAGCAGCACGGTTCATCTATGGAGCGAAGAAGTGGGAGCATGAAGAACGCTCTTCAGTGGCTTCCAGTGAACTAGCGTAGAATTAAATTTGCTAGTCTTTGTTTTCTGATCATTTGGTGGAACAGCTCCTCCTTCTTTATAATTACTCCTTGAAAAATACACTCCGTTAAGATCCGGGTGTGCTCGTGGTCCCCAGGTTTAGGGGTAAGGGTCAGGGAGATCGAGCATGGTGGTGTTAGGCCCAAACTCTGAAACTAACTCCCTCTGGAAGCAGGCACGCAGTTAGGGTGGGGGATGGGGGGAATCTGTCCCCCCCAGATTCAGATCGACCCCGATCCGTCCCCTGCGCTAAGGCCAGAAAGAAAACAAAATCGGAGGTTAAGCGCTTGAAGCTCCTTTTTCCAGTTACATTGAATGCAGCATGACGTAAACAAACACCAACTCCAGAGGCGCAAAAGTGGTTGCTGCTAGGATGCAGGATGAAGTGAAAAAGGCAAGCAACGATTACTGCGTATTTAAAAAAGACCAACAGTGTAAGTAGGCTGGACCGATCTGTCTGTTTAGGCATGTTGGTTCTAGTATCAGTACGTTGTTGTCAGTGTTGGGACTTACTTGTTATAAGCGCCACTAGATGGGGCTGTCACATGTATTACATTGAGTCACATTTTTACGTGACTCAATGCGGTACAGCTTCTTAAAGGGACATGAACGTTGCCAACCTATACACATCTTTTCTTTTTTTTAATAATCAACTTTATTGACATGGGAAAAATTATCACGATAAGAGTCAGAAATTTCGATAACGATACATTTTCAATTTATTGCCCGGCCCTAGTAAACAGTAGTTGCGTCCCTCCTTCCTTTGTTTTAAAAGGAGAAAAACTGACAATCCCTACAGCCAGCTGGATATGAAATATGCTTCAGTATAACCTTCCTTCTAAAATGACTGAAACATTAGACTCTTGGGATTTTCTCACTGTAAAAGTCTCACTATATTCTTACATGTACCTTTATAGCTGCAATATGGAATTATCCCCTCTCATTTATGTATGATTCTTTTAAAAGTAATTGTCTCATCATGTACTGTGATAAAATGTAGGCAATATTTGTTTTATTTATTTATTTTACTAAGCCCGCCCCCATCTTGTGGAGCTCCATGTTCCAGTTCCCCTGCTTTGTTCCTGTTGTATCTTTAAGAAAAATGCAGCAAATTAAATATTCTACCAATCTGGGAGCATTGATCAGCTGTGACTAACAGATTTGTTGTATGTACGTTACCTGGATCATACATACCATAAGGTTTCAGACAGCAGTATTACTGCACAGCTACTTAAATTTACTTTAGGTTCTCCAGAGTGTTGTCTCCTGCTGTAGCCCAACTGAGAACTGAGCTTTTTGCATTATAAAGAAGTATTGGTTCTGTGTTTTCTGAGTACTTTTATTAGTACAAATTAGGGCTGGGAATCGATAAGTTTTTATCAATATCTATACCATTGTTGATTCTGTCTATCAATCCAATTCCCTCATCAATTCCAGGGTAGTTCAATAGGTAACAAAAACAAATAGCACACATTTTCCTGCATAACTGACAATTTATTAATGATAAATAATCAATTGTATCTGTATTGTTTGGAAAGATCTTTCCAAATGTTCTCTTTATGCTCCTTGTGAAGGCATCTTCTTGCTGTAGCTTTAGCAAGATGGGTCAGACTTTAGTTGCTGGAGTCTGCTAGTGTGGGTGTGTATATAAGGCAAAGGACGCTAGCATGATAGGCAGTGTTAGCTGATTAGTTACCTGCAGCATTTACAGGAGAGGACATGCAAACGCTGCTGCTGCGTTGAAATTCACTAGTCCAGAGCGGGTCAAAACGCATCGTTAACTTTTACGTTATTGCATCTTTTGTGTGCAAATGCTTTTGCGTATTTGTAGTGTTTCCTCCTTTTGATGAAATATGTACATTACAAGTTGCCCATCCTTTCTTGTAATAAATGACCAAACATTTGAGCGTTTGTGTTGCTTAGGCGCCATGTAGGTAAGCTACACAACGTAGCTTGCGTAAGCTAGGCAACGTTCGTGGCGATATTGTTCATGCCGACTGGATTTGAGAAGGGAATCGTTTACAAAAATGGCAAACGATTCCTAAGAATTGAAACTATGGGAACTGGTTCATAAAAATAATCGATTTTCAATTCCCACATAATTATACACATCTGTAGCAGTGAACTGATAGTATCCCTGTTCAAAAAACAAGCTAAAGCACATCAGTAGGTGATAAAACTAGTATGGTTTCCATTATTTTTTTCAGGACAAAGCAGGTATGCAAAAATATGGAATAGTTTTGCTACATATATATTCTGAAATGTCAGTTTTTGTAAACTTTAGAAATGTAATACATTTTTATCAATACAAAAGACAAGTTTCACATCCAAATGCTTAAAAATGGTGACACATTTTTATTCAATTAATAAGAAAGCTGGAAAACTTGTATTATGAGTCACAATAATGCCTCATTTTCTTTTTCTTCTGTTACAAGTGAAGAAACAAAAAGTCCTTTTTCTCATTTGGGCTTCCATGTGGCTCTAGGGTCAAAATCTCCTGCTTTTGTTTTATTTTTAGACATGAATAAAAAAACAGAAAGCAGTGTGTGGTCAAAGCTCTACTGGATCTGTGTAAACACACCAAAGGGTTTTATTTTAGAGTTAAAAGAAAGCGGTTGACTGGGTTTCAGCTACTTAACTATCAACCGCAGTGTTCACGCTACACTTTAGGGAAAGAGAGAGTTCATTTACAAAGCTGTGGCTGGAGTAGTGTGGCGAAGTGTGAATCTCAAAAGGGCTGCCAAGGCAAAGATAGATGGCGGGGTTTAAAAGATCCCTCTCAGATTGTGGAGGATTTCTGTTGGCAAATGAAAAGATGACAAATCCACCGTTTCTTTGTATCCTGCCAGGAACTGAAACACGGCAGAAGAGAAAGCAACAAACTTATTTTCATATTTAAAGGCAGTTAGTTTAGTTTTTATGTCAGTTATTTACTGTAAGACATTCTTTCCTTAGTGCCCTTAGGCAGTAACCCCAAACCCCTTAGGTTAGACAGGTTAATCCTAATCCCTCTTTAGCTAAGGGATTTCACTGCACACACAGCACCAGTTAGCGAGGTATTGTGCAACCTCCCGCACTGCTGCTTTTTATACAGCATCTTTAGATCTGTTTGATACCCGTAAGAGATTTTGATTTGCCCACAGGACATAAAAAAAAGGTTTTGAATAAATGTTGTCCTGGAAACTTTGAAACAATAGAAAAGATGATGTTATTTTTAATGCTTGCACATAAAATACAACTCATCCCACTGGAAAGAATGTGATTTAAACAACAAACAAGCTATTTAGATGCTAGTCCAAAATGTTGAATGAAATGGTAAAAAAATAAAATAAAATATTGATACACTGGAATGTCGCAATATTTAAAAAGTTTAAAAAGTCACATAAAAATGTGACTCAATGTAATACATGGGACAGCCCTATCTACCGGACAACTTTTGTTTCTGCGCATACCCGTAGTTATAGTCTATTTATTGTTATCGAGGTAAAATCCTCAATATATCGTGATATTGATTTTAGGCCATATCGCCCAGCCCTAGTATATATATATATATATATATATATATATATATATATATATATATATATATATATATATATATATATATTTTTTTTTTTTTTTTTGAGAATATACATGTAAACATTTACTGTATGTGTGGTGCAATTCAAACTCCCACAGCTAGGTGGCAGCCATTTTTACCACCTTCATTTTGACAGAAGATCTGATAACTCTGCATGTGTCTGGAAAGTGTCTGGGTTGAGTTTTCCAATAAAATTCTGTTTTTTAAATTGCAGATATCATCTGGTTTGTAATTTCACGATATATCATATTGTCTCCTGTGTATTATGATGTATATCACCAATATACCCCCTTAGAATAAATGTGCAATAAATGAGGAGAATCCTTTTAGCTTAAACAATATTTGTAGTTTGAATTAACATCTAAAAGGTTTGTGAACCACACGACCAAAGTGATTTCAAAAGGTAATTGCTACTATGACAGCTAACAGTTGTACAAAAAAAAACTATTTTAATTTTAATAAAACAGAAAGGAAGTGCAAGTGAAATGTCAAAGTGTATTTCATGGGTTGTGTAAAGGTGTGATGATTTGTAACACATGGACTGGATGGCCTATTGCAGTGAGAACAAACAACTGTTTAATTAAATCAAATATTGTGTGTACTTTGAGTGGGAGGAAGGGTCTAAATTTTACCTGCAAATCGTTGATTGACTATAAAACACACCATTGTTGGTTTTGCAATTGAAAAGAATACAGGGCCAACGTGAAGTCAACACTTTTTTGATAATGCGTTTATTTATGCTTTTGTTTTTTTCCTCAAACAGAAACTGGGGTGTTTGTTTTCCACATCTTCACCATCAAAACCTCTGCTGGATGAAGTATTATCTGTATTAAAAAAACATGTCGGGGAGTTTGGGGCAACTGACTTTAAAAGAAAATTAACTGTTTCAATCCATTCACTGGTAGAAACCTTTCTGTGGAGGGAATTGGAAAAAGAAACAGATTGTCTTTTGATATTTCATGTTATGACACTAAATCAATATTCAAAAGCCGTTTATAGAATTTTTTATTGAGAATTTAAATGCAAAACTCACTGTATTTGTTTTGTGTGGTGCAATTCAAACTCCGAAAGCTAGGTGATAGTTGTTTTTACAGCCTTTATACTGACGGACGAACATGATCTTGCGATATGTTTTGGAAGTGTCTGGCAAGACTTTTCAGTCTTAAATATCAAATACCATCTCCTGTATTGTGATATTTATCATACTGCCAGATTCATGTAGTACACATCCCTAATAAACAATAATATTTTGGAGATACAGAAATGTTCAAAAAAGTCACCTTTTATCAGGGTTCAAATTACAGGGGAGCTAAGGGGAGCTAAGGGGAGCCGGGCTCCCCTGAAAGGTTGATGGGCTCCCCTAGAGGCCATCAAATTATACTCCATGGGGAGTCCGATAAAAGACCCAGTTTCCTTTTATATTACATTATTTATTTGGACTCTCAGCATAAAGGAACTTCTTTTGAGCAGAGGACAGAGAGCAATTCTTGTTGATGCACCCCAGGCAGCTGCGTTCTGCGCACGGCCACAATAACATTCTCAAATTGGCAGTGCCACCAAACACGTACAATTACCACACGATCGTTCATGCCCACTCATGTTCTTTCATTCATATCTGACATGCCCCGCTACAGCAGAGCTCAAAACCTGTGTTCCAATGACCTCACCTCACCACACATTCAAATCGCTAGCACTAGCATACAAAGTCCTGGATGGTACAGCTCCCATCTACCCGAATCCTTTTGCAAAGGCTTACGTCGTGGCCCGGCAGTTACGGTCATCAAAGGCTCGTCAGCTAGCAGTGCCTACACCACGCTCAGGACAATACAGACTCTTCATGTGTCGTTCCACAGATGTGGAATGACCTACCAAGCACTACAAAAACAGGGGCTTCCATGTTGATTTTCAAGAAGCTCCTGAAGACCCAGCTCTTCAGAGAGTGTCTTCTAAACTAGCACCCTCCCAGCACCCGTCCCCCACTCTACTGCACACTCCATGTTCGCTTCCCTCTATGATTGATTATGCTGCCTCACTGCCACCTAGGATTGACTGAATAGTGTTTGTTGCTAGCCTCAAGGGCAACCTGCTGGCTTGATTATCACCTGTAAGTTGCTTTGGACAAAAGCATCTGCTAAACACAGAAACATAAACGCCAGTTCTGTCAAGCGCAGCGGCTGTTTACAACACTGTAGAGTACTTTACAACAGACGACGCGGAACGGCTTTACGGCACACAGTTTTGATAACTTTTGATAATGCACTATTGATCTTAGAATATTCTAATAAATAGGGTGCTTAACCATTTTTTATGAATTAGAGTCCCACAAAACATGACGGCAAGTCTGATCACGTAAAAACAAAAGAGCCACTTTCCGCTTCCTGTTCTCAAGTCACGTGTGATTTTGTGACTTTCGCGCGGCTTTCCAGGAAGCGCTCAGCGGCACGGTGCGTCCTGTGTGACCACTTGACTTCTCAAAACCGCGGTGCTTCTGTCTCCGGTGTGCCCCAGGCTTTAGTCCCTCCAACGTGTCCTGGGTCTTCACTTGTCTCCTCTCGGCTGGACGTGTTCAGAAAACCTCACCAGGGAGGTGTCCAGGAGGCGTTCTAACCAGGTGCCCGAGCCACCTCGACTAATTTGTCTCGACGTGGAGGAGCAGCTGGTCTAGTCCAAACCCATCCTGGAGGATCGAGCTTCTCCCCCATCTCTAAGGGTGAGCCCAACCACCCTGCAGACAAACCCCATTATTTTTGCAGCAATGAAATTATTTTGGTCACTACGCAAAGCTTGTGACCATAGGTTAGGGTAGGAATGTAGATCGACCAGTAAATCGAGAGCTTCCCCTTTCGGCCCAGCTCTCTCTTCACCAAAACAGATCGCCCGCATCACTGCGGGCGCAGCACCAATCCGCCTATCGATCTCGCGCTCCATCTTTCTCTCACTCGTGAACGAGACCCCGAGATACTTAAAGTCCTCCACTTAGGGCAGGACTTCATCCCTGACCTGGAGAAGACATTCTACCCTTTTCCGACTTTAAGCACTAATTTTAAGTATGTAATATTTATATATTTGATACAACTCGGATAACCTTTAAAAATCTGTCCATGCCCATAACCTCCATCGCCGTCTCACAGGGCTCCTCTGGAAGCCTCTGTGTAATTCGTACCCTGACTCTATGTACACACCTATTGTTTACCGTATGTTGGAGCTGAGTTTAGATTAGATGGGCTGAATGACAGAAAGGACTGATAAAGACACACTGCCTGCAGATGGAAGAATAAATTATAGTTTGCTGCACCATGGTGACACACAATTTGGAAATTAGATTACTATGGAGACAGTTCTCTCTGAAGTCAGCGGCCGCTACGGGGGCAAAGAAAATCAATTCTTAATATGAAAACTGTCAATCAGCCTCATTGATTTGATGTTACATGTGTGACATTTAGTTACAGGATAAAAACACGCAACAGTTAGTTTGTTGGAGCCATCTTTGTTATGAACTTTATTTTCTTCACAGTCTAATATCGTTCTACTGGTTTAATAGACGAGTTAGCAATCCGTTTTTGCTCGATAAGCTTGTGTTAATTCATATGGCATGCATCCTTCTGTCTGAAATGCTTATTTTAGCACAAATTGCTTTAAAGTCTTTATCATAAAAGGTCCAATCTGCTGTAATTGGTAGAGATGATTTCTCGAAATGCTCATTTGTAGTTTGAAAGGCTTCCAAAAGAACCCTTGGCAGGCATTATGCAGACAGATATAAGAATATTGCCAAGTCTAAAGGAGGATGTTAGTATTTTGAGCGAGGTAGAAGAATCATTTCTCTTTGTGTTTGTGAATGAACAGAAATGCACAGAAATGCTGTATAAACTCTCCAAAAGTATTGATTTTTATGGCAAAGTTATTATGGAGTTTATTTTAAAAACTAAATGTTTTTGGTGATTTTATATCATTTCATGGTCTACTGAGAATACTTAGTTTTTTTTTTTTACATTTGCCTGAAATAGAGTAGAAGGAGTCACTGCTCATCTGGGAAAAGGTGCTGGATCAAAAAGTGGAATAAACAAAATGAGAATCCGGTCTCTGACCAAAAGCTTGACCAATAAACTCCTACATCGCAGATTGAGGTGTGCGGATTCTCATTTTGTTTATTTGCCTGAATTAAAATGAATAAACAATAATAAAGAAAAGTAAAAACTTAAAATAATCAGTTTTTTTTTATTGTGCCGTTTTCAGACTGAATCCAAAGAGTCATGGCAGCATGTCAACCAGGTAAGAGGCAAGCTGATGAAAGCTACTCCTGACATGCCCAGAGCCCTAAAATAAATAAAGGTTGACCTTTTTTGTTGTGATCTCAACATTTCCCTCTCTCCAGTGCCACAGCTCCGAGTCCCACCTCACCACGTTCCCCCTCCTGGCCGATGTTCTCGGCGCCTTCAAGTCCACAGCCGATATCTTCAGCCTCCAGTGACTCTTCCCCCGTCGGGTCGGTGTGAGTTATGGTTTAAACCAACACACATGAACCTAAGCTGCATGTGATGAATGATAAATAAGAGAAGTGGAACATCCATTTGTGTATGAGAAATGCCATCTCTGCGTTTATTTAAGTCTTTTTAATGGGGTTATATGAATCTCTCCACAGCTACTAGATCATGTATGGAAAACAGAAAAGTAGAAGCTGTTTTTGTTCCAGCTTCAGTGTCATGAAGCCATAATTGTCCACTCTGCATGTCTTAAGCAGCTGCCATGTGGTAGATGGGACTCCTGAACTTAAAAGCTTAAGAATTTCTTTAAGACCATTTACCAAAATCTCACCCTGAACTAAAATTGGCCGCAGTAACTCAACTATACCTTAGCAGCCATGCGGCATTTGTTGCTACATTTCAGTCTCAAGCATCCTGGTGTTGTAGTCAAAGCTGCTATGAGACAGATTTGGCCCCTCGGAATCCCACTTTTGTTTAGACTGCTGTGGTACATTTAGTTCCAAGTGCACAATAAAAGGAACAGGATTTATGAAAAGATGGCACCTATTGGACAAGGACATGGACTGTAAAAACACCCTTTTTGAATTCTATAACTCGGGATAATTTGTAGTTTGTTTCTTTTTGTCATATATGCAATGAAATCTTAGTGTTTCACTCCAACTGTGTCCTCGTTTCTCAGGATCACAGGCAGGAAGGCTCGAGCGCTGTATGCCTGCAAGGCTGAGCACGACTCCGAGCTGTCCTTCATCGCTGGGACCGTCTTTGAGAACAGTGAGTCAGAATACAGAGGGGAAAGGACAGGATATGTGGTGGCGTTTTGTCGTCAAAACATTAAGGCAGCCATGGGAATCTGGCTTTGATTGGTGCAGGATGACTTTATGGTTTGAATTTAGAAAGTGTTGGATTTTTAAACAGCAAGTCACCCCAAATCAACTTTTTTTGCTGATAAACTATATAAATGAGTGCATCATATAGCTATATAAATCGTGCTGTAGACACGTGTAGTCAATAATTTGGCACTTTAGTGCATCTTAGTAAACATTTAAATATTCTGCCTAAAACTGTCAAGTGTGTGTGTCGTCGTCAGGTAAAAACTCTGCACTACATTTGAATTGAAGTCTGCCTTCGCTATTGGCTAAGTGGTACACTATGATGTCACAATGTCGTTGTGATTCTGTGCGAGTATTTGTTAGCGACTCCGCCCTCTCGGTCTGCTTAATGACAGCATTTGTTGCATTGTTCAAGCAGGAAGTGGGAGTTGAGTAAGACTCTGGTAGGGGGTGACTTGCTCTTTAAGTTGTTGGGTTTATTTTTGTCATCTGGCACCCAATATGAATGTGGGAATGGTAACCCTGTAAAAGTTAAGCTGTGCTCTTGGCTGAATTTTTACCAAACAACTCAAGCTTTAAAATGACAAAATGTTTTGTCACTTTAATCGTTCACCCATACACTTCTGTGTTCGTCTTAAAGTGCACTCCGTTCCCCTCCAAGCACATGTTATATTTGTGCTTTGGGGTATATTTATTTATGTATTTATTAATTTATTTAATTTTTGTCCGTAGCAGATCACCAGTGGTCCCCAGACACTAAAATAAGTTAGCAGCCTCACGACTATGAACAGTTATGAAAAGCTGAGCAGTGTCATGTGAGCCACTTGGGTGGAACTATGAACCTGAGGACATGTAATCCTCCGAGTGGTATCCGAACACTGCTGTCTTTCATCACCAGCCAAAGACGCAGCATTTAAGCTGTCCTCATGTAGCTCCTGCTACAATCTCAGGCTGTTTTTAGGAGTCATAAAAATTCAGGTATGTCATGATGTTTACTGACCGGTCTCGTCTAGTTTTCAAAGTTTTGATTCATTTTTCTCACACGGGTCGCAGGGCCTCATGGTTTTGTCTCACATGTTGAAATTTTCATGTAAGATTTCCTACAGAAGGAGTCATGTGAGTCACTCGAACCGTCTTCCGTTTAGTTTTTCCATAGTGGGGGGGGCAAGTGAAACCACTCTTGGGAGAGATTAAATTCCAGATTTACATACATTACATACATTTACTTGAATGTCAATTTTTACCACTACCTACAAGGCCCACCTATAAATAAAACTTCTGAGGACGAACATAATAAGTAAAAAGTGATTGCAATGCTGTTGATAACAAAAATCTAATTATATGTTATATATGTAACAGTTGATACATGTTGATAATATAACCTGTGTGCTTTGGAACATCGGCTTCTATCATCTTATGTTTTTAAAAACAGAGGGCAACCTGGCCTTTCCATTGGACGCGTAAGTGCCAAATAACATAAGAGATGTGTTTTCCCCGCGAGTTAAGCAACGAGAAAGTCTAGTGCATAAAAAATAGACCTGAAGTATCAATTTTGCTGAGAGTAGTATACCTATGCTTCTGCGATGCGTCTGTTGGCAATGCACCCATCCGCTATACCAGCATCTAATTGCTGTGGACTACTTTTCGTGGACTTTACACAATGCTTACGTGTTGGGTGGAAAGGCCCAGTAAACAAGCAGTACTTAGGAAATAATGCACTTGAATTTAATGCAGTTCTTTGAGATACTGATATTGCACACATTGAAACTACAACAAAGTTTTTCGTACGTTTTGCAGCTCACCTCAGTGCAGTTCCAACTCAGAATTAGCTCATTTTCTTACAATTTTGTCTCTCCCAACAGTCACAGCCGTACGAATCTGGCATTAGAATCACAGCAGTTGATATTCCTCCTATTTCTAAATGTACATATAGATGGAAGGGATCATAAAGCCGTTTTACAAAACAATTCCGTCAATTTGCCGCAACGCTGAAGCGGCATCAGATAGAGCCTTAGGTCATTTATAAGTGGTCAGACTATGGCAGCAATGTGACGCAATCGCGTCTTTTTCACAACCCATTACACAATTGTAGTATAAAAAGGGTATGGGGGCGGTCTCTGCGCCGCCGCGGACTTTCGTTTATCTTGGACATGTCTTTCTTTTTTGTTGCGATCAAAGCTGTGCTTAATAAGCCTTTTTAACAAGCCCCTCCAAAAGGTGTCTGTGTCCCTGCAGTCTCTGGTGATCTGACCTCCATCTCTAACATATAGAAGCTCCAGGAGCTCTGCATTGCTCTAGATTATCATCTCAGCTGATTCTGTTTACTAAAGCAAACATTACAGCTCGTATTTACTTTCATTTTCATTATAGTTGACGGCCAGATCTCAGCAGTTACTCCCCACTTTATCGTGACACCACCCTCTGTTACACCAACACGCGATCGTCGTTTATGAGACGAACAATTACCACAATATTAGTACCAAGCGAGACAGAATGAATGACGCAAAATTTGTGCATCCCCATGGTGGTATGGCGCGTTTATAAGACACACCGTAGCAGTAATATTACACTGATTTGCCGGCACAGTGTGTCTTGCAAAAAGGGCTTAAGAATAATTTTCTCCTGCTTTATTGTTCATCTTCATGAACGCTTTATTTTCTTAAAACTCTTTATTTATGTACGGTACATCATTATTTTACAATAATATTTACATGTTTTTGCAATCTCCAAAAATCTTTCTTTGTAGGATATAATTTTCATTACATAGCTCCTTTTCCTTTTGACATATCCTTTAAAAAAATATATATATTATTTAAAAAAAAAAATTTATTTAAACTTTGTGACCTATAGGTGAGTGGTCCGCATTTGTGTCCAACATCAATTAGCACCGAAACCAGCCCAGAGATTACTTGTACATTACTTTATATTAAATATTATTATGTCCAATTAGCCCAGATCCTATTAAACTTCTCTGTTTGCAATCTAAAGGAGAAGGTAATTTTTTCCATTGTATAAATGTTGTTCACTATGTTTTCCCATTCCTCGACTGTTGGGGAATCGGGGTGTAGCCAGTGTCCTGTTATGGTCTTAATGCCAGCTAAAATAAGAATGTTAAATAGATATTTGCTAGAGAACCCTAGAGAGTTGTCCACTTTTCCAAAGAATATTGTCTCAAAGGTGAAAGGTATGTTCATTTTAAGTATCTCTAACTTTTTGTGGAGGTCCGACCAAAAATGCTTAATTGGTGGGCATTCCCAGAAAATTTGATAATGACTAGCATCCTGGCACCCACACTGCCTCCAGCATTTAGGTTCTATCCCAGAAAAGGATTTCTGTTTTGGAGCGATAAAGTATCTAGTAAAGCACTTCCATGAGAATTCTCTCCACGTGAGTGAGTTGGTGCATTTCCAAATAGATCTACAGTAATTTAGCCATTCTTCCTTTGAGATAGTAGCTCCACTTTCTCCTTCCCATTAGTTTTTTAGGTATTTTGTTGAATTAGATTTTTTAACTAAAAGGCCCTTATACAGTCTGGAGATATTTCCTCGTTTTGTTTCTGATTTATATGCAGCAATGAATTCTTTTAATATTGGTTCTTCCAGGTCTATGACATTGATTAAGTGTCTTTTCATAGTAATGGTGTACTTGTAGATATCTAAAAAATCTTGCTTTTCAAGTGAATACTTGTTTTTTTTAGGGTCTGGAAGTCCATTATTTGATTGTTTTCGGTTATAGAATATAGGGTGGTAATTCCTTGAGCTTTCTATTTCAAGAACCTTGGATCTGATTGGCTAGGACCAAAGTCAGGATCATACGCACACCAACACAGCACTTAAAAATTTTCCTGTAAATTATATTCCTCTTTAATGGCCCTCCAGATTTTCATCTGGCCTGTTATCCAGGGGTTCTGCACATTGCCTATAGCCTTTATAATATAGCCTTTATCAAGTCCTGGTTTGCTAGAAATGCCTGAATTGGTTTATTTTTTGTTAGTGAGATTTCTATTTCCTTCCATCTTGAGTTGTAATCCTTATTGCATATATTTAGAAGTGGTTTTATCTGAGCTGAATAAAAGTAGTCATTTAAGTTTGGTAGGGCCATGCCTCCTTGGTCCTTTGGGAGTTGTAGTTTTATATCTCACTCGTGTATTTTTTTTCCCTTGCCATAGGAACCTTGATATTACCCGATCCCATTCAGTAAATAGTTTTTGGTTCATTTCAATTGGAAGGCTTTGAAACAGGAAGAGAAATCTCGGTAATATATTCATTTTTACTGTTTCAATTCTTTGAATGAGGTTACATAGTGGGTTACAATTCCATCTCTGAATATCTGTCTTAATTTGTGCCAGAAGCAAATCATAGTTCAATGTTTTCACTGATGTTATCTGTTTGGGAAAAATAATTCCCAAGTACTTTATCGTGGTTTGGTCCCATTTCATTCTAAATTGTTCTCGTAAATGTTTAGTTGGTCTAAAGTTGAATGTTAGTACTTGGGTCTTTTGAATGTTGAGTTTATATCCTGCATAATGGCCAAAAGACTCTGGAATATTCATTTACTTAGTAAACAATTCTAATGGTTCTGTCAGATGCACCAAGACATTGTCCGCATACAATGCCAGTTTATGTTGTTCAGTGCCAATTAGAATACCTTTAATATTTTCTGCTTGTCTTATCCATTGGGCTAATGGCTCGATGTACAGAGCAAAGAGCATTGGTGACATTCAGCATCCTTGTCTTGTTCCTCGATTTAGTTTTGAGTCGGATAAGTATCCATTTATTTTAATCCGGGCCGTAGGATTTGTATACAAAGCCTTAATACCCTTAATCAACTCTTCTGGGAAATTCAAATCTTTCAAGGACTTTGTATAAGAATTTCCAGCTTACCAAATCGAAGGCCTTCTCAGCATCCAAACTGACCAGCAGGGCCGATAAATTATTTTCTCTTATATGATTGATAATATGTAGAGTACGTCTTATGTTGTCGCTTGTTTGTCATTGTGAAATGAATCCTGTCTGGTCAGTGTGAATAAGCTTAGGAAGGACCTCCTTTATTCTCTCTGCTAAAATTGATGTATACATTTTATAGTCAGAACTGAGATTGGTCTAAGTGAACCACATTCTCTTTTATCTTTTCCTTCTTTAGGAATGACGGAGATTGTGGCTTCTCCCCATGATGGCGTTATTCTGCTTTCCTTTAAGGCAGCATTGAATATTTGGTGGAGGGTTGGAACCAATTCATTTCTGGATGTTTTGTACAACTCCGATGAGTAGCCGTCAGGACCTGGAGATTTGTTTGTTTTTAATGTAGTTATTGCAATTTCAATCTCTTTCTTTGTGATATTCACTGTAAGAAGCACCTTCTGGTATTGTGATAAGGAGGGTAAACTCAGGGGTTCCAATAGTTTTGTAATTTGTTGTTCATCCTTTGTATTAGGTTGTGAGTATCATTGTGGATAATATTTTTGAAAAGCTATTTGTATATTGTCTTGTGTATTTACCAAGGTATTCGAGTCTGGGCCTCTTATTCTATAGATAGTGTTATCTGCCTGTTGTTTCTTCAGTTTCCTTGTCAGGAACTTTGAGAATTTAGCCCCTGCCTCGTAATAACGTTGCTTTGTATAGACCATTTTTTTCACAATTTCCTGTGAAAGCAGTGCATTTATTTCATTTCTTAACTTTTTTAGCCTTGGTAAAAGCTTAGAGTTTGGTTCCTTATGTTTTAATTCCTCTTCCTTTAGCTCTTTTGTTACATTTTTAAGTTGAGATTGTCTTTGTTTCTGTATGAACAGAAAGAAATAATTTTGCCCCTATGTCTTTAATGAATCCCACACTATCTCAGGACTAACTTCTCCGTTATTATTGGTTTTAAGGAAGTTTATAATTTCTTCTTTTATGTGCGTCTTCAATTGTGGAACATTGAAAATGCTTGAGTTTAGCCTCCATTGTGTTTTACTGGGTCTCTTGTTCATTTTTAACTCCAAAGACAGTGGTGCATGGTCAGACAGATCAATGCTGCCTATTTCACAATCTTGAATTTTGTGAAGATCTTTTTTAAATATGAAAAAAATAATAAATTCTAGCATAAGTTGCATGGGGATGAGAGTAGTGTGTATAATCCTTCTTTGTCGGATGTAAACTTCTCCAGAGGTCAATTATTCCCATTTCCGACATATATATTTTCAATCTAACTTTTAAGATTCTTTTTGCCTCCGCCTATTCGGCACGTTGCCTGAGGATCCCAGTGGGATAATCATGATCCACATAGAAGCGGGTTCTGTTATAAAACACCTCCTTTTTTTTGCCAGGCTCTGCGTATCACTTTGTCCTTCAGCTTGTAGCTTGCTATTTTTGCGATTATCGACCGGGTTTCCCCACGGAGTTGGTGGGCTTCGGAGCTAATGCTCTGTGGGCTCTTTCAATTCGCAAAGCTGTGTCCAGTGGGAAATCCAGCGACTCCGTCAAAACATCCAAATGTTGTCCCTGCGTGCGTGCCCCTCCTGGTCCAACAGTTTAGCTTCCATCTCGGCCTGACGCTGGGTTAGCCTTTTTATCATGGATGCTGCGGCCTGCAGGGCTGTCTCTACTTCTTCGATCCGTTCCTCTGCTTCTTCCAGTTGGTCGTTGGTTCTCTGCAGCTCTTGTTTAATTTCTGTCAGTTGCTGTTTATTATCTCATCTGAAATCCCTCAGTTCGTTCAGTATGCCTTGCAAGCTAGCTTCTCCAATCCCGTCCTCGTGGTGGTAATCCTTCGGTGGCGAGCTACCCCGGTTCGCTTTGTCCTATGTCGCCGATTCTTCCACATTATCATTTGAAGGCAAAGTTTTCCTACTTTGTGTAGCTACCCTGTTTTCCATCTCGTTTTCTCGCATATTTCTGGTTTGATTTGAGTCGTTTTTCAGGATTATTTTAAAGGTTGTTCGGGAGTGTGAAAATTAAGCAGCCATCTTCATCGTGACCTGGAAGTCCCCCCATGAACGCTTTCTAATCCATGTTTGGTTCTTTCTCTTTAGTTCACACTTCAAAGGAACCCGGCTGGTTAGAAGGGACTCTGGATGGCCGAACAGGACTGATACCTGAAAACTACGTGGAGCTTCTATAGTCCGTTCCTGGCAAGGAAACCAAAGTGGACCAAGCTGGACTTGATACAACCAGATTAAACTGCACAAAACTTCATTCATTCTGTGCGGTGGACTAGAAACCACTGGAGTGGGACAAGAATGAATATATCCAAGGAACAAAACTTATTGAGCTGGGGAAGAACCCCTGAATTGCACTGGTATTTTTGACAAGACTTTAGTGAACAGCCTTTGAAGTCATTGTGACGTGTGTGTGTGTGTGTGTGTGTGTGTGTGTGTGTGTGTGTTAGATAAGATTGCAATCTTTTAGATAAAACTTAAAATTTTTCCTTTAGTCTGCTTTGGTATTTTCTCTTTTCATTAGGTAGATAATGACAGGTTTTATTGCAGCGTTAATGACGGAGAACATGATAAATAACAAATGGCCTTCAGCCGTAAAATTGCTGGTTCACCTCATCGTTTTGCTAATTCCCTTGGGAAATTTGAGTTGTCGAATCAGACTGAGGTAATTGGGTTTGTGCCGAAGGACAGTAAACGTATTTGTGAGTACTTGTTGTGGAGGGTGGGTAATTCCTGGGGACAAAACTCATCCTGGTTAATGTTTCAGGGCTCCAGGAGCCTCAGGGCGGATCAGCAGATGACGAGATCGCCTCAAACAGTTAACGTAAGGATGTGTGTGTGTGTGTGTGTGTGTGTGTGTGTGCGTGCGTGCGTGCGTGCGTGCGTGCGTGCGTGCGTGCGTGCGTGCGTACGTGCGTGCGTGCGTGCGTGTGTGTGTGGCCTCGATGTGATTCCAAGATATTCCTTAAGTGGTGCTGCAGTGTGGGTGAAGCAAGTGATTCCTGCTGGTTAAAACAAGTCCATAGATCCTCTCTAAGTGGAATGGTGTGTCATGTTTGCACTATGCGAGTCCATTCTTGGAATTATATTCAAACAGGAAGTCGTATATATTGGAAATCATAAATCACCTGCTTCTTTCTGTTTATGTGTTCTAATGATGCAGATCCAGACATGCTACAGAAGCTTTAATCTCAGCAGCACAGAAAAAGCTAACAAAGTCTCTTTTATCAGCAGCGTTTGGAAGAAATAAACATTTTTAGGATTTTTCTCATTTGTGTACATAAAGCTAGTCTGCTTGAGGGTTGTGGCGAATGCTCTCATTTCCAGAGTGAAACTTGGTGAATGTTTTAATTGACTAAACAACAGGATTTTTAAAGCTTTTTAACCAGTAAAACAAATGGGAGCGTAGAAAAGCCTAAATGTGAACTGAGACTACTTTATTTGTGTATAAACTTATTTATGACTGTTTTTAAAAGTCAAACTCCTGGACTTCTTTCATTTTGAGGAGTTTTATTGATGTTGTAAATGAACAACATTTGATGAGGTATAATTTTTTTCTTCGAGTATGAAATTAAATTTTGTATTTTTTAGCGTACTAACTTAATTCTTTTAATTGCATCTGTGTTGCCAGAGTTTTTATATCCTTTATGTTCATCCACAGCCTTAATTTTTCTCGCTGATGTTTTGGTGAAGGACTGTGCTGAAATAAAGACAAATGTAGAACAGCTGCGGAAAATCCTTTTCCTGGTATGTTTTTTCTCCTTTTACACAACAGAACATAGCTTTTGTGTTTACAGCCACACCAGCTAATCGTGTTCTTACTTCAAAAATTCTGCCTCAGTGTTCAAACCATCCTTGTTCATTTATTTCTTTCGGAATGAGTTTTCAAGCTCGTGTCTTTTATTAAAGGCGCTGTTTTTTAATCTATTTCAAATCGGTTCCTCTTGAGATAATTTCATTCATCGTTCATGGTCTGACCTCTTGGGGTTATTTGTTCAGTGGAAGCGATTATGCGTTGACCTTTTAAAGATTATGAAAGATAGTATGAATTCAAGTTTTGGGTCTCTCCAGATCCCCCTCTGCTGTGCTTCAGCTCTCCTGGCAAAACAGATTACTGTGCATTAGTCCTCTCATAATCTTACAGTTTTTAATATTTCTGATGCTTGATTGTGACTCCTAACTCTTGCTAGTTTCTTATTCTCACACGACGAGACGGATGATTTTTAAAACATACTAAATGTTGCGATAAAAATAATCACATCAGCTTTGGCCCGACAGCATTTGATATCCGACCACACTAGGAACACAACCGGACACACAAACATTCCCTGGTAGAAGAGAAATGTTGCATTATATCAAAGACAAAAAAAATGAAGGTGGAGCGTAGTGTGCTTCCATCACCCTGCTTTCGGATTGGATACACGTCACCCCAACAGGTTATTTGTCCTAAGAAGTTAGATCAAGAACACCCAACATGTTTGAAAGCCCCAATTTATGATCCGAGGAATCCCAAAGCCCCAATTTATGATCAGAGGAATCCCTAAGTCCTTTCGAGTGGACAAGAATGCTCTTAACTCCCTACACATGGTAAGAATATCTGATAAGATTATCTTTAGAATGTTTTGGGTAATTGGGCATGTCTTAAGATTATTGAAAAGGGGAAATTGGGTAAAAATAATCGGCATGATTAACCTGTGAACTGGACCTTGTAATGCTTACCTTAAAAACAAAAGAACCAAATTCATCTGGAGTTCAATAAAATACCGTAAATCCTCTAATACAGGCCCGGGCCTGTATTTTACTCAAGCTCATCAAGCTCCGGGCCTTTATTGGAAGGAGGGCCAGAATTAGAGGCAGGCCTCAATTTCTATTTGAGCAAAATGAACCAATGGTTCGCTGGAGTTTTTGACAATTAAAATTGTGCCCACATTTTCAAAGTTACACATTTCTTTTAACAACGGTAGTTTCTGCTTCAGCCCTCTCCCCCCCTCCCCCTGCGCAGCGGCCGCAAACTCACTGATGCGCCTGCAGACCCTCGGAGTTCCTGCTGCTCTAAACATTAAAATAATTATTTCATTTTCTGTTCCTTACTTCTGATTACCTTCAATGGTGTCTGTTTGTTGCAACCACCAGGTACAAAAACTAACTTGTTTTTATTTGACTATTTTTCTGTCCTGCCTGTTTATTATCTTCCTGCATCTCCTCTCAATCCTAAAGAGAAACTGCTACCTGGGTTCATATATATTCACCTTATGAGTTACCTTTGAACTGCAGTTCTAAAAGATCTACCGACCGCAAAAACAGAGTGCTCGCCGAACACATCAGTTAGTTGCGTCACTGACGACAAAACATGTGATGCGCCCTGATCCACAGCAGCGAAATGCATCAGACACAAATAAAAGACAGAAAACATAAAAGGAAATGAGCCGACATGAACGATCCCGTGTTAAATTAGTTTTTGAGGTGGCGACACCTGATTTGATAACGTTACTGTGGCCGTGCTCAGGACGCAGATGTCTGGAGCGCGTTAACAATCAGAGCTTTGCATGTGCACGCTGGTTAAGGTTGGGATGGGGGTGAGGGGAAGGTTAAATTACAAGAGGGTAAACGTCACAATTTGGTTAAATGTCCGTTTTACGGCGGGTGTCAGTACCGACGCTCTGGCACAGCGCATTGCCTCCCGACACGCAGGAGCTTGTCACCTGCTGACAGCAGGCTGCTGTCTTTTCCGTGGACTGCATCTTGCCGGTCATTATCACGTGACAGCAACTAGTCGATGACAGGCATAAAAAGTCACTATAGAGCGGTGAAGTCGACTAGTGACTAGCTCATACAACCCCTGCTACTGCTCCCCAGTGTGTTCTGCAGCATAATCCGCACGTTCTCTTTGAACTTGATATCAAATTTTCGCCTCCTCTTCGTCTCCGCACGGTTAAAGTTACCCTCGCGGTCTGTCACTGGCAAATCAAAAGTGAGATGGATATGACACAACACAACCGCCCCCCGTACTTGCTTGTAACCACATTCCACCCGGCCACAATAAAAAACCGGCCATTATTCACCTCCGCCGACTCTGACACCGGCCAAAATGTGATACCCGGCAGTTAATTGAATACAGGCCAATATTCGAGGATTTACGGTAGCTTTGATCAATTGTTTTTGTGACAAAAGAATGACCTAAATGGTTGGGTCATGCCATCCTTCACTATTTAACCAGTTTTAAACTTGAGCAATAAAACCATTGTAGCTGAGTGCTGAAAAACAGGAAACTTTATTGTGTAAGCTGTTTGAACTGAAGAAAAGTCTGTTCTTCCACATTTCCTTTAACCAGCGATGACAGAAACATCATCCAGCAAAACGTCAGATCCAATGTCAAAGAACAACACATATAACCTAATTTAACATTTAATCAAACTGAGGAAAATATTGACACTGAATACAGAAGTGTAAATATAAACCATTAGTTATTTTTTTTATCCTTTGACATTTTTTCCATATATTTTTTTTACATTGGATTACATCTACAGAACTGAAATATGAACAAAACAGACTTCGGTGAAAGCAACAGCTATGTATACCAGTGAAACATGATCTGCCCATCATTTTAAAAGATAATTGCATGTCTTTTATACAAAATAGACCGTGACAACCAATGCTAGGGTAGTGCAATTTTATCAAGCTCTGGAAAATGTACTTTTACACAGATTAATTTTTGTTGTTTTGTATTTTAAGTGACCAGTAAATCCTTACAGCAATATACATGAACTCCAAAGCCATGACTTTTACAAAAGATGCATTTGAAATAAAAACAGAAGTGCTAGAATTAGCAGGTATATGCTACGGAAAATGTAACTGCTTTACTTTTTTTTTAGCCTTTGCTTTGGTCACTCTTGTTTAGCACAAAAAAAAAAAACTTTTCCAGTCCTTCCAACCTGCCATCCCTCCCCTCGCTCCCACTTTTTGTATGAAAAAAACGCTTCACATTTACTTCACAAGACACACATTGAACACTTTCTACCTAATGTATTTAACACATCTACCTTTATCAAACACAACCAATGACAAAAGAAAACTGAAAAATAATATTTGACTCATTTAATGTACAAAAATGATTTGATTAAAATTAGTCATATCAAAGAGGTTCAACTTGATGTATTCAAAATCACAGAAAATATCTTTATATATATTTTATTTTTTACAATAGATCAATCTCCAAAAGCATATTTCTGTTTCCTGATTTAAAATCTGACGTCTATGGCTCTCTGTCTTCCTTTTGCAAGGCCTTGAGTCAAACGTGTAGCTGACAGGTAGAAGGAGGTGTGAGTACTGAGATTAATGTAAAAATATTTCATAATAACAGACACTATTTATATTGCACTGGATATGTCAGTGTTGATATATATATATATATATATATATATATATATATATATATATATATATATATATATATATATATATATATATATAATACACACACACACACACGTATAGCCGATTAGAAAATGAGCAGGCGAGACATGGTTATATCTGTACGTTAAAGCTGTTTTCCAAAAGCACCGCCACCTGAAAACAAATGTAATACTGACTGCAAGTCAAAACTCGGGAGCTCAAATCTTCCTTAGATTCATCACCAACATAGCCACTCATCAGCACTGGGTAGGGTTGCCAACATCCCATAGAATAAGGAATGGCCCTGCATTTGACCCCAAAATGAAACGTTCTTTAGTAAGTCAATTGTTTCGATATTTTAGGACTTAATTTGTATATAGAAAACAAAGGTTCAAAAGATTCAGTTACTTTCTGTACATTCACTTCCAATCCGAAAAGACTATAGGTCCAGTTCAGTTCACTATGGCCAAACAAAAGATTTTTGTTCTTTGAATAATTTAAGTAAATTCAGTTTATTTATATAGCGCCAAACCACCACAATTCTCTCAAGGCACTTCACAGAGTAAACATTCCTATTGAACTGCAATGAGTTCAGTTGGTTAAACGTTCCCTACATAAGGAACCCCAGCAGATTGCATGGAGTCACCGACTAGTGTCAGTGACCTTACAGTAATCTCCACACTAAGCACAATGCATTTTTAGAGTATGCTCAACCACAGCGCTAAATTATTTATTTCAAAAGGATCTTACACAGATAGTGAGGAAAACGATCTTATTAGCATGTCTGTTACTAAAAATTAAAATAAGCTAAATACAATCTTATCATATTTTTTAACCACATTGTAAGGCTATGTGCTTATTAGCATAGCTTGACAGCAGCAATCTAAGCTAATGCCAATGCACCTCATTCCAACTTCTGAAAGTTGGCAACCCTAACGCTGATTTAAGAGGCTGGAGCTAAATATATCAAACACGAACTGAAGTCAACCCTCCTCAGCTGAATTGGCTACTCTTATTAGAAAAAATGAAAGAGATGGCTCTTAATTGAATAGCTGCTTGTATTAGAGCTCGTGTGCTGTTAGCTGTAAGTAACATACAAAAGGACTGTTCTCCATGGCGACCTGCAACCTGGGTTAGTCTACTGGTCTAAGAAAGTTAAACGTGCTGCAGAGAAAACTGCAGAAAACCTATGAAGTGGACATTTTTAGGTCTGGTGAGTAGAGAAGCATCTGGAAGGGGAGGAGGTGGTTGGCGTTGGGTTTTCACTGGATTTGGCTGCCATGTAAGCTGATGTGAACACTGTTTTACACAAACAAATGATGCAAACGATGAGCAATACAGAGTTTTTATTTCTTTTTTTTAAATGTAAGCTGAGAAATTTGTCTTACTTGAAAAGTTTTAAATTACAAGATTTTGTGAAAAAGCTGTTAGAAATTACTTCTATTGTTGAACCAAACAAACTCTTTTGATAATCTAGTCATTAGAAGCTTGTGTGTGTGTGTGTGTGTGTGTGTGTGTGTGTGTGTGTGTGTGTGTGTGTGTGTGTGTGTGTGTGTGTGTGTGTGTGTGCGCGCGACACTGAAGACTGAGCACCCTGAAGCAAAGTTACAAACCAAAACTGGATAAAAGTCCTCTCATATGTCCAAAATTATTATTATTACTAATAATAAAAAAAGAAAACATCAAGCTATTTGGCACCAGTGGGACTCGGGTCATCTTACCCCATAGCATGGGATGCAATTTAATAATTATTTAAGCTAAAATATTACAACCAAGTGTTCTATAATAGAAGACCATTCATATTCGCACTAAGCTCATTTAAATATGTGCTTGCTGTCATTTCTTTGAAAACAAAAATCTGCTTTTTCTAAAACCAAATTTGAAAGTTTCACTTTGCGAAACACTTTGCTCAACAATAACCTCAGTATGATTGCAGCTGGCAGTGAGAAACAGGTCTGGATTCAAGCTTGAATAATTATGGCTCTTGTTAGTCGTGGAAAAAAAACCTGAATATTTATCAACACTTTGGATGAGTTTGTCTAAATTCACATTAGTTCTAAATCCTCCCATGGTCTGAGGATTCTGCTCTCTAAGTTAGTAAACTCTTATTTTTTACAAAATAAATCCTTGTTTTTAAGTTCTAGTAACATGAATTTAGGAGGATGCTGGTGGAAGGTTATTTTATTTTTTTGTAAAATAAAAGGAGATTCTAAGATAAAATTGAGATAAATTTAAGAATAACTGATACAATTTTTTTCTTTTTTACCAAGTAAAACTTTTCAAATTTAGGATATAAAAACAAAAAAAAAAAGACCAAGAATTTATGTTCCTATTCAAGAAGGCTTGCTTTTAATTAATTGTAAATATGCATAAAAAAATAAATAAATAAAAGTATTATTCCAATTTTGAGTTACTAATTATTTCAAAACATTAATTTTCGATGGTTATGAAGTCCTACTGACCTCGAACTGCTAGGGGGAATAAAAGAAATGCAAACTGATGAAAAGCTGGAGTCTGATAACGATGATTTCTGATGCATACCACAGGTTGACCCCCCAGGCACATCTGCAGACAGAGCAGAGACCGTCCCACCATAAAAACACCAGCGTCAGTATGGCTACAAAATAGCAGAGCGGGAAAACTAAAAGGAAACAATTCATGTAGACTGATGTCGACAACAGAGTCAGATGGTTTGGAGAGGACGGCTATGAAGAGCTTAAAAACGAAAAGGCACTAGTTTTCCCTCAGATACATCCTGTGTAAACATGTATGTGCGTGCATGGGTGTGTGTGTCTGCATAAAACACATGAACAATGTTCCTCTAGCTCTTCTTTTCCTTCTGTTGGTCGAGTCAATCATTTGTGTCCTTTCTGCTGAGTTCAGGACGTCGTGCTTCTGCGTTTTTTTTCTTCATCCCCTTTAATCACCAACAGCATTCTGAGAAACCTGAATCGCCACCTTGGCTACTTTGTGAAGCTGTGCAGGTGAGCGGATGAAGCTTGAGCTGAGTTTGTGTCATGTCGCGTCGATTTCCAAGTGGGAACAGCAACGGAACTCTGGAGGCGAGAGACGAGGTGACGTCTTCAGAAACGTTGTATGAATGAGGTCTGAGGGACAAAATAAAAGACATTCAGAGACCAAATTCTTCTTGGTTAGCCAAGAGGATGGACTACGGTGGACTGGAATAGGAGCTTTGAGGCCACAGGTATTTTAGTTGGAGGTCGGGCTGAAAGGCAAAAGGCAGGATTCCCAAAGAAAAACAGGAAGCTGGACCAGAACGATGAAGAGTGGGATGGAGTCCCAGCAGGTACCGGGGACAGATCGGGACTTAAGGCATTGATTCACAGTTTAAGGCAGTCCTTTTTGATGAAACAGCAGAGGCTTCACGCTCCCATCCTTGAATTTTGGTATCTGGTTGGTGATGATCTCCGCCAGCATCTCAGGAAATTCCACACTCAGGGTTTTATTCACAAAGGTGTAGAAGCAGATCTGCAGGAGACCCTCCACCATCTGGAAGATGCATTTACAAATTATTTACGATAATATTATTTATGTAGTTTCTCTGAAAGGCAATTTCCTGCCATTCCAATCACTGTTTAGTAAAAAGTCTTTTTCCAAAACGACAAAATTGGAAAACACATTTTGGTTGCAACAGCTTAACAAAATGCATCACAGAGCAGATTTTTGAACACTTTTCTTCACCAAAGTAAAAATCATGTATTATTACAGCCTAGATCTGTAACTCCACAAAACCCTTTATTAACTCATTTCAGTGTGATGGTATTTAAATATCACCTAACTAAACCCAACAGATCAGTATCAATACTCAGTAATCCATTATTGTACTCGAGTACACATTTTCTGTATCTGTGCTTTATTTAAGTCATTTTCTCAAGGTCCACTTTTTACTTTTACTCCACTAAATGTTAAACAACTGTGTACTTTCTACTCCACTACATTTCCTAAAAAGCTTTAAAAGCACTTTAATTTGTGTTTTGTTCGACCCCCATCCCACTCCCGGTCTGACGGAGACCAGCAGCACACTCCTTGTCCGTGCACCAAACTGCAGTCCCAAAGGTAAGAGTAGTTAATTAGTGTTTTGCAGTGGTCTCTAGTAGGAATTAATGCCTAGTAGGTCATACTCTGGGAAAAAAAAAGCTCCAGCGCTGTTTCAACATGGAGATTTCAGCTGGAGGTTAAAGTAGCTTCAGACTGCAGGACTTGGAGTCTCTGTTTTCTCTGCAATGTTGATGATCTTCATAGATAACACATGTCTATAGGAGTTCTGCTGTGTGGTGAAGTAGCTAATGCTAACTGTTAGCTTCCACTAGTCGAGATGTTCTCTGCCGTTTCCTGGATGCTAAATGAACAACAGTCTTCCTCGTTGCGAGCCATGATTGGTGAGTCTAAGTGACAGCGTGACGTAGATCTGTCAGGATTTTCTAATCCTAGAGTTTCACCGTCTATTTTCTATCAGAAGCTAATGCAGGAGATAGGTGTAGGAGACTATTTTCATGTTCAGCCTGCATGAAAAACTCAAAGTAATCGATCATTTTCAAAAATAAGTAAAAAAGGATAAATTACCTCGAAGTAATGTTTTAACCCCTTTATCTGTATTTTACTTAAGTAGAAAAATTAAGTACTTCTCCCACCGCTGTGCTACAGGTTAGATAGAGGAGAACGTCATAATACAAACAATACAGAATTTAATTTATTTGAATTCATTAGAAACATTGTGGAACACATTCTTGGAGCTGTCCATGTTTTAATGATGCACCGAAACAAAAATCCAGATGTACCGGTAACTAAAATCCAGATGTAATAGCTGTTCCTGTTTTTAGCTTTTGTGCCAAAAAGCTCCATATCAACATTGATTGCTACCTGATTATTGACTGGTGTAAAGAGTAAAGTGCTAGGATAAACTCTTTAGGATTTAGATTTCATAGTGTGTGTGTGAGAGTGTGTGTGTGATATTTCTGACCTCCTGCATGGAGTCCAGTAGCTTAGTTAGCTGGTAGAAACGCTGCCAGTTCTGACTCGTGTTCTCCTCTCTCTTCACAATGGCTTTTCCCAGCTCCTTGATGTACGTCATCCTGATCTCATCAAAAACAGCCTGGCTCTTCAGGCCCTCTTTGGGTACTGCACACAACAACCAGAGCCGAATGAGTGCAGCCATACTAAGATTATTAAAATAACACCAATAAATGACACACAAGACGACAATTCATTGAACCCTTCGTTTTCTGAAGCTTGTAGAATTTTAAACTGACCAACTAAAAGGGCGTCCTTTTAAAAGCCTCATGTAATATTTCAAATAAAACGAGCAAATATCCAGAATCCAACCATTTCTCCCTTCTGCTCTTTATGCCGCTGCACCAGACAGCTCAGGACGTTAAAACTTACTGTGTGGGACCCCAGCAAGGAGCACAAAGCTTCATTCATGCTACTCTTGCTCTGCAGCTCAGAAATAAATGGCTACCATACAGTGTGTTTTGTTTGCGACTGTAGGATGGATGAAAGGCTACAAAAAGCAGATCGATTTGGCAAAACGTCAAAATGCCTTCTTAATTCTCTTCACTGTTAACCAAGACAAAATACATCCGAACTACTTCAAATACATAGAAACCCAAAAAAGAGAGAATCTATTGAACCAATCCATCCGAATCCTCGTTGGTTTAGTCCAGTCCAGTGAGCCCCCCTCCTCCACACCCCCACCCCGACACATCAACACTCTGTACAAGTTGTCCTTTGTCCAGTTAGAAGCAGTCAATCTCAACTTTGGAAAAAGTAAGTACAGAAAACACAAAAGATGTCTCAAACAGCTCGTCTTTACTTGTAGACGATCATGAGAGCACACATTCATGTAAACCAGCTAAAATCTTCAAACCTTTGACAACAGCACGCAGCGTTTAAATCACTTTGATTAAGAAGTTTTCACACCATGAACTCTTTTTTTTCGGGGGGGGGGGGGGGGGGGGACAATAAATCCTCTGACGTAATTTTTACATGAACTTAACCTAAACACAAAGTGTGTACTCATGTTTTCCCTTTTTCTTGACTACTTTTGCTCATTTCAAATTGATGCATGACTTTGTTTTACAATTCAAAATAAAAAGTTTTACTCCTCTGCTATAAGTTGTAAAGTATAAGTTTAAAAGCGGCACCAGCCCCCCGCGACCCTGCGTGGATGAAGTGGGTTCAGGAAATGGATGGATGGATGTTCCTGTTCAGGTGGATTAGGTAAGTTTTTATGTCAGTGGGAGCTGAACCTCAGTGAAAGGTGGTGAGGGCTCATGCACATGTAAACGTACTACCATCGTTTGAGTACTGCTTTATTAACAAGAATGTATATAAAATACTATGTAACCTTAGTATTTGGTGGTATTTACATAAACACATTTTGGCACCAGACCTGATCATGATATAATTAATAATGAATGGTGCCCCATACAAAAGCTTTTTTAATTTAATTGTAAGCTTAGGTGTAACATATCACAGTCAGAACTGTTCTTATTATCAATAGCAGTAAAGGTCAGTTCACAGTACGAGGAACTTGTCTTGGTGTCAGGTGCAATAATAAATAATGGTACCAAAATAGTTAAAAGACAAACTATAAATACCATACAAAAGTGTAGCATAAAGAATAATAAGATTATCAGAACATCTGAATAAAAAATGGCACCCATTTCATTTAACTTAATCATCTGCACTTTCTATATATTTTATTGAAATCCACCGAACAGGTTATTTGATTATCATTGTTATGTTGACATCACAGACATGAATTCATAGACGATTGGGTGCTGGAGAGCATTGCCGCCATATCGGATGGGTCTCCTCACTCTCCAAAGTCAATGCAGAATGAGCAACTGATATAATTTAACATTTTAATTTATTTAGTTTAATTATATTTATATTTTAATTATCATGCCATACCATATCTGATTTTGTGAAAAACATTGATAAAATGTGTTTTTTAGTTGTGTAAGCACGTTCCTCTGTAGAAATGAATGCACTGGGGGCGAAGGAGACCTATCTAAAATGGCGGCCAGCCTCTACATGGGTTTTTTTCAACATGGCGCCTGTGCGGTGGGCGGACTCAAACGTTAGACTCCGCCCACGTAGCCCCCCGCCCCGATCTGCGTACTGCAATCAGGGGTATTTGCATTATTCAGGACACTGAATCTTGCCGGTGTCACGGTTAAGGCTGCACCCTCAGGTGAAAGCACACTTTTATACACGTTAGATTGTCCCAAAAATTCAGTCTTTCTGTCTTCATCACACACTAGTAGTGACAGGTTGTCTGTTAGTAATAGTTGTTAAACACGTGAACCCAAAAGGTTGAATCAAATCATTTTTTCCACAGGGACGTTTTTATATTTAGGTGTTTAAGTCACTCATTTTTGAATTTATTATTCCCTCTGAAGGCCAAATAAATACATGAACTCTTTGTTAGTTTTGCTGCACAAAAAGTCGCAGGGTTTATGCAAAAGCCTACAACGTGTGATATTTACATAATCTATGGGGAGCTTCTGCAGAACAAGCACCATCAGAACTTTTTGTGCTTGAAGGTCTGGTGGGAAGACAGTTCTCCTTTGCCTCTAAACTCACACGACTCCAAATTACCTTACAGCTAAACTAAACGATTACAACGAGTTCATTCGGTGCACATTTTCATCAGGATTCATCAAGATCATTAAAAAAAAGTCAAACGAGTGGCTTTGATTTCATCAAATATTCAGAAGAGTTGAATCCAGCTCTGACTAAAGCAGCTTTGACCTAAATGTTGTTCCATCATCGCGGGGGACAGTTGGAAATAGCTCTCAGGTACAAAAAACCGCAACCAGTGTTCAGTATGGAAATGTGATTTCCTCTATGCGATGAGCAAATCCTCTCTAAAGTGCATCCGTTCCTCTGATTGTCACCAAGAATAAAGTAGAAATAAGTCGATTTTACATAAAAGGGAGAGAAATAATCATTTGTGGATATTATTTGTGATCCTACCAGAGTTTTCTGGCCTGATTCTAGTGGGCATATTAACATAAAGAGATGTGGAGTCAACAGCTTTTATTCATTTTTCTTTTCATCAAGCTAAAAAAAAAGAAAGAGAAAGCTACAGACCATTTACATATTCCTCTCACTCGGTTAACGTCTTTCCTCTAATTTGAACCTTTTAAAACACAAATCAAACCTATTCAGAGTAAATTTAGAAGCCACGAATAAAACCCAGCTTGTAAAACTGGAGGGAAAAACAGGAAACAAAGCTTTCATGTAATGAGTTTTATTTTTTTCATGATGTGCTCTTATTTAATCATTTGTGGTGATCACACGAAAAAAAAAACCTAACATCAGCCCGTAGTTCATCCCCGATTTAAGAAACTAAATTGTACAAATTTTACTTTTATTGACCTTCTGTATTCTTCCTGCCACGGGGAGGAAATTGGCTTTCAGTCTGATATTTCAGGTTATTTTCAAATTCAACGCTGACAACAGAACATGTACATGCTCTATATTCAACTAAAAGCTTTGAAAACAAAAGACAAAAAGTCTTATTTTACAATCAGGAATTGACGATTTCAAGTGATTAAATATCGTCTCATGTGGATTCATTTAGATTTTCAGGCTTCTTTTAAAATGTGTGGAACACTCGTTTAATCACTACGTCTACAGTGGTCTCTAGTAGGAGTGAATGCTTTGTAAGCTGAGCTTCAGACAAGTTGTGGTCTTGTTTCCTCATATTTGGACATCTTGCCTTGGATTGGCCGACAGCATCCCGACTCTAACACTGACTCCAACGTTGATGTTTTCTCTCTACAAATAGCACAAGCATGGAGGAGTTCTGCTATGTGGTAGAGTTGCTAATGCTAATGATTAGCTTCTACTAGTCGAGACGTTCTCTGCTGTTTCCCAGACATTAAAACAACAACCTTCATCGCCATGAATTATGATGGGTGAGTCCATGAATATGAAGTGACAGCGTGACGGAGATCTATCAGGCTTTTCTAGTCCTAGAGTTTCACCATCTGTTTTCTATCAGAAGCTAATGCAGGAGATAGGTGTAGGAGACTATTTTCATGTTCAGCCTGCATGAAAAACTCAGAGTGATTATAATCAGAAATAAGATTTTAAAATCTATTTTTCAGTGTTCCACACCTTTAAAAAGAATCAACTTCTTTTGTGATTTTTGAGCAGAGAGAGAGAGAGAGAGAGACAGCACTACAAATCCTTTCAGAAGCTGCAACAAAAGGAGTGAGAAAGGAGAAATTAAACCAAACACTAAAAGCTGAGCGAGTGAAACTTTTCATCATTCTCTGAAAAACTTGCATCTATGAAAAAACACATTTTATTTATTTTAGGTTGGAAAAAAAACTGTAAAATGTTGCTTGTGGGACTAAAAGAATGATTATTCAGTGTTTTCTAACTGAGTGTGGCTGAGTTAAGATGAAAAAAAATCTTTCATTCTAGGTTAACAAGCTGAAAGAACAGTTGCCTTTACACACACCTACACAACACGACCCCGGTTCTCAGATGTTCTATTCTAACCTTTCGTTTTGTTCCCGTTCTTCTCAAAGTACCGCCGTGCAGGGGCGAACTATGGTAAATTGTGCCCGGTACCGTTTCTATATTCCTAGCGATCCAAGGTCTAGTTTTTGAGATACTTTTGTTTGTGTGACCCAACTGATGTTTATGGAAGTAGGCCTAGCCATGTTTGCACAGGTAATTTAAATACGTACATTGTGTGAGGTAATGGTGTGGTTTTCTTCCAAGAAACAAAGAAAACTGATGTAGAGGAACTTGTTAAGATTACAGCTAAGCCATTGTTGTTTTGTTTGAAAATCTCTATCTAAAATCATATTTGTTGTGTTATGAGGTTGAATCCAATCTTTTTCACACAATTTTGTTCATTTGAAAATCACGTGATCGGAGCATCTTTAGTGTCAGAAATTAAGTCAGATTATATCGGTTTATCGGCTTGATCCAACATCCCTACTAAAACATTGTAAACGATGTTTCAATCATTTTTTTCTTCTCTATTAACAATTTTATGTAAAAAAGGTAAATTGAGAGATTAAGAAATTAGACAGTGAAGCACTGTAAATTATTCCATTCTGTCTGTCAAAAAGACAGAACAGAACATGTATAGTACTTGTTTCCACCAGGATAGATTTAAATGTGGCACACTGGGAGCCTGATCATTTCCTGATGACCGTGTGTTCTTAAAAGCAAGTAATTAATGCTACAGATGTGTATAGTTGATGATTTTCTCTAGCCCTGTACTGTTTACACGACTTTCCTGAGAGTTGATTCACTCACGCTTTTTAATTTGTGACCATCTATGTTTCAAATAAAAACACGAAAATCCCACTAATTATTAGTAGTTCAGTTTTAACACAACAAAAGTGATTTTCTTACCTGTACTGAGCAGCAGAAGCACCTTCATGCACAGATACTCATCATAGGAGACCTGCAACCGGACAAACTCGTTGCAGATCTTCAGCATCTGCTCACACTGGTCGTTCATGAGGGGCAGCTTCATGCGATCTCTGATGGAAAAAAAAAAAGGGGGGGGGGGGGGGGGACAAAGACGTGTTAACTGTAGCACAGGTGGGAATATTTAGTAAAGGAATGAAAGATGTGCTTTAGATTAAATGTGATTGATTATGTAATTCAAATGTCAGGAAGTATCTCCTGCAAGAAAGCATGTAAGTTATGCAGAAGAATAAACCAGCCATGATGGATGTTCCACGTGAAAAATGTTACCTTAAAAAGCAAAACGCCTGCAGTGCTGGTGGGAATGACTCATTCAGGTAAAAATGACTTGTTTTTTTATCTTCTCATTGTAATGTTAAAAATTTAGTGGAACATTTTTTTCCTATTGCTTTTGCATAAAGTGTTGCAGGAAGCCACTTACGTTCTTACCATCAACACTTTAGGCGAGTTCTGACTGGTCACATCATCTACTCACACAAAATATACACCTGAATTTTAGCAGAAATTAAGTAATAAAGCTGTATAAACAAGATTAATATGGGCTCTTTTCATGATGCAGGCGTACCTGAGTGTTATTACTTGCAGGAAACGGAAAGGAGGGTACCTTTCAGTGTTAAAGGTACATGTGTGGTTTGGTTTAGGACTTCCTGGTTATCCTTTAATAGACCAAAGTTAGCTGCTGCTCTCATTTTTCTCCACTGTAGCTCCTCACACCTCTAATAAAGTCCCATTTCACTCCTTGTCTTTTGTCACTCAGCCCTACATTGTGTTCATTTTTGTCAAAGGGAAGTCGATGTCCCATATATTTTTGTAACATTGGGGTGGGACTATAGGTCCATTTCCACTACCGAAACTTCCGGATAATGTTACCGGAACTTTGCGGCGCACGCGTGCCTCTCTTTCACTGGCCTGGCCTGAAAGGACCACCTTCCCGACCATTTTAGAAACCAACGTAGTACCTGAACTGGGTTATGTGTTCGGAAATGAGTTGCTGGGTGGGATTTGTAGTTAAGCTTGTTTGTAACTTAGTAGGAATTTACATCTGCAGACGTCGCTTAACTAATGGCATTTGTAAACTTGGAAGAGTTGCTGGTGAAGCGGAATAAAAGGTAAGAAATCGCTGTTTCTAAACTCATAAAGGCAAAGGAAAATCACCCCACAATGTCGTAGTTTTCACCACTCTGTGGTGTCCTATAGATTACTGTAAAAAATGGTGATTCTTTTGGTCATTGAACCTCGCCTTTTACTCTCGATCCGCCGGATGGAGTAAATTTTGGAGTACTTTGGCAGAATAAAACTTCCAAAACGGTCGTAATATGCTGACGTCTTGGCAAAGTCCAGAAAGGGCCAATTTTGTATGGCGACACAATGACAATGACAGAAATGTACTGGAACTCATTTAGTGAAAACACAGATTTTAAACATCTGAGCCAACATAATCTACATAAAACAGCAGTTTGTCAGAAATTATGCAGGAAGACCTCTCAGTAAAACTAGGACCTTTATGACCACAATGGATGCTTAAATCCAGCAGGATAATTCACCATGTCACAAAGCTCAAATAAGCTAAAAATGGTTTCTGCAACCTAATTTGTTGGAAAAACACCAGTGAAAACATACAGCGGCTGAATACTCACTCGTTTATGACAAGATCGGGGGCGAAGCACAGCATGCTGCCATTACACTGCTCATAGGACCTCCACCCAAGACTGAAGGACATGAGGAATAGCCAAGAGCACTGCAGCAACGTCATCTGGTCATCAAGGTGTAGGTTACGGAAGCCTGGGGGGGAGAGATAAAGCTTGTGTGACATTAAAAAAAACCTGGTGAACAGAAAAGGAATCTATAAAAGTAACTGCTAAAGTTATATCTTAGACACCTCAGACAGATATGCACACAGACTTCAGACATTACACAACATAAGTGTCCACTAGGTGGGGCGGTAGGGTTGGGACTCTCCTCACTTCAGTGCATGCAGCCGCATGGAGCAGCGCTCATCACCTCCGTTTGGACAGGGGAAGGAGATAATGGGTTAGAGGGCACATTGACTCTTTGATACGGTTCCACAGCCTTCACCAGTCTCAGTCCCGCCCAGGCTGGGATAGGGAGAAAGAGTTTCCATAGCGACGGCAGCATTCCACATTTCTTCTGAGGGGGGAGTATTCACTTCAACCTCACAGGCCTCAAGGGCACCAGATACAGATAAGAATAGTTTTGGGGACAGAGAGATAATTTCCTCTCTGCCTTAGCGTTCTGTTGGTCTTCAACCCCTCTAGATCCAATAATGGCGTAATTAATCTATTCCAATCCGTGCTGTTCCATCAACTCGCTCCTTGATGGAATCTACCTTCAGTGCCAGAGCCTGAATCTCAGTCAAAGTTCCAAGCTTACGACTCATCGACAATTATATGAGTTTGTGCGTTCACAGCACGATGCATTCCATCCCTGAGCTCTGGGATTGAGCCAATATTCCTCAAAAGCTCGTTAATCTTCCGGTAAGCCAGGTAACCGCTCAGGCCAAACAGCAGGAATCAATACAATGAATATCCAAACATCTTCAGAATCCTCTACAGACAGTTGAGAGAGGCATATCAGGTTCCACTGTTTCCAGAAGGCCATGATATACTCAGCTGGCTCTGTCCCAGAGGGGCATCCGGAAGCACCTTCTCCCGTTCTCACCGTTGAAAAAATGTTGTCAATCGCGTTGAGAGACCAACTGACCAGATCCATTTTTAATAATTTCCAGTTTCCAGAAAAAATGCAGAAAGCGCCGTGCACACAAAGATAGGACAAAGAGCCTTGGGATGAGGAGGGAGGGAGAGGAGAAAAAAAGCGTCTGTACTCTCCAAGAGCCGGAAGAAAAAAAAACGTTTTTCCTTTTCACGGACCGTCTGATCTCTGACTACCTCAGCAACTTCTGCACCAGACAACTACACAGTTGTTTGGGTCACCCCGGGGGTGGATGAGATTCATCCTGGGTATCTCATGGCTTTGGATGTTGTAGGACAGTTGCGGTTGACACATCTCTGCAACATTGCGTGTTCATCAGGGGCAGTTCCTGTGGATTGGCAGACCGTGGTGGTGGACCCCATTTTTAAGAACGGTGACCAGAGGGTGTGTTCCAACATGTCTGTAGTGGTGAGGAAGGTGCTAAGCTGGAAGAAAAGGCTCTCGATTTACGAGGTCGATCTACCGCCCAGTCCTCACCTATAGTCATGAGTTTTGGGTAATGACTGAAAGAACAAGATCGCAGATTCAAGAGGCCGAAAAGATTTTTCTCCGCGGGGTGACTAAGCTCAGCCTCAGGGATACGGTGAGGAGCTCAGACATTTGAGAGAGTCTTGGCGTAGAGCCGCTGCTCCTCCATATCAAGAAGAGTCAGTTAAGGTGGTTTGGGCATCTTGTTAGGATGCCTCCCCAGGGAGGTGTTTCAGGCATGTCCTGCCGGCAGGAGGCCCCCTGGTCGACCCAAGACACGTTGGAGAAATTACATCTCCAAACTGGCCCAGGAACGCCTTGGGGTCCTACCGGAGGAGCTGGTGGAGGTGGCTGGGGAGAGGACGGTCTGGAAATCCCTAGTTGGGATGCTGACCCCGCAACCCGGACACGGATAGGCGGAAGAAGATGAGACTGTTGCTGGCTTTTGTTTTTTTTTTTTTTGTTAGAAAAATATCACTTGATCAAGCCTTTCATACATTTCACACTACTAAATAGGTTAAAGTATGAATGACTTGTGCTGTTATCACAATGGATTGATATCGGTATCGGTCAGTACTGAAGGCTGCAATATTGGTATTGTATTGGAAGTGAAAAATGTGTATCGGGACATTTTAAAATTGCTTTACAATTAAACATTTTGTCAAATGACAATACATTAGGTCAGAATATCCTGAATACAAATCAATAAACTGAACCTTCTACTTTAAGAGAAAAGCATCATGGGTAATGTAGTTCTGTGGCATTTCAGCAAGTTGAATGAATCTGGGAAATGTACACATTTCTAAGTCTTTTGATGGATAAAATTTAGGAAGTATTTTGCAAGTGAAATATGAAAATGAGGAACTCGAGCAAGCACAGAAAGGCAAATAAATAAATGCAAAAAAACACAACCTACCAGGTGTGACAGTTAGTTGTGGACTAAGAGTGAATCACTTCAATTTGTTAATGTTTTTTATGCAATCATTTTGACGCTTTCATTACTCCATACATTATTCCAACTATAGATAAACCAGGTCATGTGACTGTTTGAGGATTCTAAGCATACACAGGAAATATATTAGGCCAAGAATGCCTTTTGAACACACAGACACATGGAAAAAAAGTTAGTTAAAAGAAAGGGAAAATGTGATACGGTTTCACTGAACAGCATAATCATAAATTTACATGTAAATTCTTGGAGAGATTATTGAGTCATGAGCATTTTCCCTCGTGACCAGTTGTCCAACTGGTTCCAAAGTTGTTCCATTTTTCTCAATTTTTTCCCCCTTTGTCTTAGAATAGAAACAGACAAGCATTAAATCCCAACAATTACTTTTAATTCCTTGATGTTTACAAGATGAAGTTATATTAAAGGGGCCATATCATGGAAAATCGACTTTTTGGAGTTTTTTAGCATGTGATGTTGTTTCCTCATGAAAAATACCCCCAAACCCGTTAATGGCTGCATTCATGCTGCTTGTCTTGTTTCTGCTGTTAATTTAGAATTTTATTTTGAAATTCCTAAAATGAGCTAATGCAGGGGTCCCTCAATTGTAATGGTCCAAGGGCCACTCAACAAGCAGACACAAAAGCAAGAGGCCCTCCCGTTCAGCCGTCGTCCGGGGGCCACACATGTCCCGTGGGCCGCCTATTGAGGACCACTGGCTCCGACTTCCTGCTTCCAACATCAGACCCTGCTCCTCCCCAGGAAGCTAGTCTCTGGTCTGAAACCTGTCTCCCCTGGCCAGCTTAGGATATGTGGCATAGCGGACTAGTGCCATGTAACAGACTTGGTAGTCTAGTGGTTAGAGTGCTGGGCTCATCTTTCTCAGCAGTAACCTTTTTCTTCTTTTTTAGCTGCACTAGCCCGTATGTTTTCAATTCTTTATTGGTGAACTGTTTAAAATATATGGAATAATATGTTTGTTCTTTGTTTATCTAGCCAGTGTGAGTCCATGTGAGGTGAGCAGAGTAAGTAAACAAAAATGCTGCTTGAAAATAGAGGTGGAGGTCCCCATTTTTAAGAAGAATGACCAGAGGGTGTGTTCCAACTATGGGGGATCACACTCCTCAGCCTCCCTGGAAAGGTCTACTCCAGGAGAGTACTGGAGAGGAGAGTCTCGCCGATAGCTGGATCCAAGATTGAGGAGCAGCAATGTGGTTTTTGTCCTGGTCGTGGAACTGTGGACCAGCTCTTTACCCTTGCTAGGGTAATGGAGGGGTCATGGGAGTTTGCCCAACCAATCCACGTGTTTGGAAAATGGAGGTGAGCAGAGTAAATACACTAAAATGCTGCTTGAAAATGAACAAATTCAAATTCTTCCAGCTCTTGGAGAGCACAGACGCTTTTTTCCTCCTCTCCTCCCTATCTCATCCCAAGGCTCTTTGTCTGTCTTTGGGTGTATGGCGCTTCTGCATTTTTTCTGGAAACTGGAAATTACTAAGAATGGACCTGGTCAGTTGGTCTCAACGCGATTGACAAAGTTTTTTCAATGATGAGAACGGGAGAAGGGGCTCCCGGATGCCCCTCTGGGACAGAGCCAGCTGGGCATATCATGGACTCCTGGAAACAGTGGAAACTGATCTGCCTCTCTGTAGAGGCACAACTGTCTGGGGAGGATTCTGAAGACATCTGGATATTCGTGGTGTTGGTGACAGGTTTCCTGCTGTTTGGCCTGAATGGTTACCTGGCTTACCAGAAAATTAATGAGCTTTTGAGGAATATTGGCTCAATCCCGGAGCTCAGGGATGGATTACACCGCGCTGTGAACACACAAACTCATATAATTGTCGAAATGAGTCGTAAGCTTGGAACTTTGACTGAGATTCAGGCTCTGGCACAGAAGGTGGATTCGATCAAAGAGAGAGTTGGCGGGACAGCACGGTTGGGAACAGATTAATTTACGCCATTATTGGATCGAGAGGGGTTGGAGACCAACATAACTTTAAGACAGAGAGGAAATTATCTCTGTCTGGCCCCAAAACAAGTTCTTATCTGAATCTGGTGCCCTTGAGCCTGTGAGGCTGATGTGATTAGTCCCCCTCAGAAGAAATGTGGAATGCTGCCGTCGTTATGGCAACTCTGTCTCCCTATCCCAGCCTGGGCGGGACTGAGATCGGTGAAGGTCGTGGAACCGTTTTCAGGAGTCACTGCTTTCTAACCCAATTACCTCCCTCCCCTGTCCAAACGGAGGTGACGAGAGCTGCATTGTGGCTGCATGCACTGATGTGAGGAGAGTCCCCAACCCTACCTCCCCACCTAGTGGACACTTATGATGTGTGATGTCTGAAGTCTGTTGCATTTCTGTCTGAGGTGTTTTTTGCATAGCAAAGCTGCCCTCCCTGTAGAGGGTAACTCTGAAGTGCCTTTTTTTCCTCCACCTGACTCAAACCTCAAATAAACCCTCTGATCTCTATTAAGGTAGCGCAACCCAGGTTGCGAATGACCACAGTCACCAATTCTTATGTGTCTATGTCTTCGTATGTATGTCTGATCTCAGAATTGTGTGTACCGAAACTCAAATTTCCCTCTGGGATTAATAAAGTATCTTTGAATTGAGTAGAATCTTTAGAGATACAAAATACAAAATATTTTGCAGAAAATAATCAAAACTAAAATGTAAAAACATGAACTCTGCTTCAGCTGCTAAGTATATTACTGCCAACACTGGGATTAGAACCCTCATCAGCATGTGGCAAAACTGAGATGGCACTGGACTTAACCACTGGACTACCATAACCAATACAGTAACCGACTTGCCTAAGACACTGTTGTGGGCAAGTTTAGTCGGCGTGGGTGGAGTTTCACAGAAATCAAGCCTTTTATTTCCTGGTATAAATTCAAGCTGACAAAAATAACTTGTATTTAAGATAAATGACATCTCAATGGTGCCAACGGTAATATTTTATCATATACTGTGCCTACCTTTGCTCTCAAAGGTTTAAAATAGCATGATCTGGAACCTTTAATAAATATTTATTAACTTAATACCAAAGCAGTTGGTAGGTGTGCCCTAATCAACAGATGTTGAATCTGCGTCTTTTATGACCATCTTTCTTTTTATGCACTTCTAGAACAAGCAGCTTCTTAATATGAAGGAGCAGAGACCTCTCATAGCCCAATAAAATCCTATTTGCTGAATACTGCTGAAAATATACCACAAGAGTGTTCACCTCAGACGTGTGCTTTCAGGGAATTAACTGTACGGTCTTTCATAATCTAAAGATATGTTAGAAATGTTGAGTTCTAGCTCTCCATAAAGAGGCAGACCCTTTGAAAGAGAGGAGAGATGTGAAGGCAAACATTTCCTTTAAGTGGGAGCTCTGAAATAAAAAATAATCTAGTAAAAAAATAAATAGACCTCTAGTTTTAACACGATTTCATCAGCTGAATGGTAAAAGTCAAATTTAAGACTTTTCCGTACCTGGCAGCGACTTGGCCCACTTGACTGCAGAGATGACCTGCTGACCTCCCAGCCGGTTCAGAGTGGTCATGAGTCGAGTGGAGGTGTCCGGCAGCGTGCTGTCGTAGCCCGAGTAGATGATCTCCGGTTCGATGGCCTTCAGGACGGACAGCATGGTGGGAACCAGCTGGGGCATGCTCTTCAGGATGATGGGGGAAAGTTGCTGGGGGGGTTCTGGTGGCAGAGGGCGCGGCTGAACTTTTGTCTTGCCAATCATCTTCTTGTGTTTCCTCGCTGAAATCACAGAAAAAATAAGAAAGGAGGGGAACATGCAACAAAATCAGTTTTGTAAAAAAGTTTCCACTTTAAATTGGGGGAAATACAGCAAACAGAAAATAACAGCTGAAAATAAGGTAGCAGCAAGAAAACAAGGTCAGAGCAAAAAGATATCAGGTTCTTCTTACGCTGCATCATATGGCAATCAAATTTTCTGACATTAAATTAAACCTAGAAATTAATTCACATGTGTTGCAGAAAGTGAAAAAAGAGGATTTGGCTCTGAATATTTAACAAGGCTGATAAAAGGTTTATAATGATGCACACAAATCTAATATAGAAGCAGATCTTCTGAACGTTTCAGCTTTTTGCATCAGTGCAACAGTTTTTTCCCAGCACTCTGCCTCATCTGGGAGTCATTTTGACATTTTCTGAAAAACTAAATGTGAAAGATATCAGCTGTTGAGAGGTTACCATGAAAAGTATTAAAAAAGCTTTTCCCACTCTACCTTTGTTAATTTCCTCTCCTGACGTTTCTATGGCAACATTGAGCCTTTCAGTTCGAAGCCTGTCTGCCGATGCGCTGACGTCCATCAAATCCCACTTTCTGTCCTCCTGCCTGGCTTTCTCTCTCTCCGCCTAACAAACACTCCACTTTTCACGTTCACTCAACAACAAATTGTACAAAACCACGAACGGCAATTTATCGTCCTAGGGAGTGTACGCTTAAAGTAACAACTTTCAGGCACTAAAGCAGGTTGTGATTCTTGGCCTGAAAAGATTTTTATTTCTATCCCTTTTTAATCCCGTCAGAGTTTAACTGTTGTCCTGTCACCTAACCGTTTATCCCATGAAGCAGAACCAAGCGAGAGATCACCAGGTTAACCAAAGGGTAGAAGACTTGAGTCAAATGGTAAATGTAACCCATCCTTCCATCTTCTTTACCCGCTTATCCACGCAGGGTCACAGGTGCTCATCTCCAACTGTCTTTGGGCAAACAGGCGGGGTACACCCTGGACAGGTCGTCCATGGCACGGCAACACAGAGACACACATGACAAACAACCATGCACACACATTCACACCTAAGGACAATTTAGACACCAATCAACCAGTCATTTTCTTGGAACGTGGGAGGAAGCCGGAGCAAGGCAACAGCGCTAACCACTGCGCCACTGTGCAGCTCGTAAATAAAACCAGAGAAAGAACATTTTCTTTCACAAAACAATACAACATTCTAAATTTTTAAAAATTAATTGCTAATGTAAGATAAATGCTAATCAATGACATATTTGTCATAATACTCAAGACTTAATGTTTCTGAGTAAAATAACCAATCAGAAAAAAGGCAGAAATGCCAACTGTACCGTGCAACGCTGTAGTGTTTTAGCTGCAGTCAACAATGGCGTCTGGTGACGGGGCAAACTTATTTCTTTAGAAGAAAGGCTTTTAGCACTTCTACTTGTTGTGGTTTTAAAGACATGTTCAAGTCATTTAGAACAGAGGAAAGAGTCGTAGCAAACTCTGCGTCGTGGTGTGTGAGATGTATGCTGCTCAGCACTGATTGGCTTAGTTAGAATTCTAAGGGGGTGGGGTTATTTGAATAGGAGAGCTCCCAGACCAAAAGTTTCCCATAAGGAAGCATGGTGTGTATTTGGTAACACACTTCTAAGCTGATGTGTAAGTCTTGGCAGTCTGTACACACTTGCTTCAACAAGTGTGCCTTTGTGTCTGGCCTACTCAATTGGACTTGGGTGGGTGTGTGTGTGGCACGGACAAGGAAATGTGGAGCTGTACTCTGTCAAACCAAACTGAAAGCTATGGATCTATCAGGCATTCATTCAAGGTCTGAATACCCAAAGTGCATTAGGGAACTCAGTCACTGCTCTGTAGTGACTTTTTAGGGCTTTCAACAACTAGTCGCTGTCACGTGATAATGACCGACAAGATGCAGTCCTCGGAAAAGACAGCAGGTGATGAGCCCCAGCGCTTTGGGAAGCGACGCGCTGTGCCAGAACATCAGTATCTGACGCCCGCCATAAATCGGACATTTGACCGAATTGTGACGTTTACTCTCTTGCAATTTAACCTTCCCCTCACCCCCATCCTAATCTTAACCAGCTTGCGCATGCAAAGCTCTGATCGTTGTGGAGCTCCAGACATCTGCGTCCTGAGAACGGCCACAGTAACATTATCAAATCAGGTGTCGCCACCTCAAAAGCAAATTTAACATGCGATCGTTCAAGTCGGCTTATTTTCTTTTATGTTTTCTGTCTTTTATTTGTGCCTGATGCGTTTCGCTGCTGTGGAGCAGAGCGCATCACCTGTTTTGTCCTCCGGTGATTTCACCTCAATGATGCGGCCGGCGAGCAGCGCGCACTCCGCTGTTTTTGCGGTCGGTAGATCTTTTAGAACTGCAGTTCAAAGGTAATTCATAAGGTGAATATATATGAACCCAGGTAGCAGTTTTTCTTTAGGACTGAGAGGAGATGCAGGAAGATAATAAACAGACAGGACAGAAAAATTGTCAAATAAAAACAAGTTAGTTTTTGTACCTGGTGGTTGCAACTAACAGACGCCATTGAAGGTAATCAGAAGTGAGGAACAGAAAATTAAATAATTATTTTAATGTTTAGAGCAGCGGAAACTCTGACAGGCTGCAGGCGCACCAGTGAGTTTGCGGCCGCTGCGCAGGGGGAGGGGGGAGAGGGCTGAAGCAAGATGCAGAAACTACCGCCGTTAAAAGAGATGTGTTCAACTTTGAAAATGTGGGTGCAATTTCAATTGTCAAGAACTCCAGTGATTTTCATTACTTGACGGTTGACTTAAAAAAAATTAAGTTATGCAGCCTAAAGTTATGCAGCCTAAAGTGCATCCTAGAACATGAGTGGAACAATCTGTTTGTTGTTTTGATCTTTACCACTAAAGATCGTCGGCAGTCGCTTAGGCTAGCATTAACAGTAGCTCTGGCTTGCGTTAGCAGTAGCTCAGGCTAGCATTAGTAGTAAGCTAATAGCTCCCCCTGAGCCTGACATCAGTGGACTCAGTGGTCTCCTTCAAAAAGCAGCTGAAAACTCACCTGTGCTGGCTGGCTTTTGCGTGACCTTCATCACCATTCTCTCCTTATTCAGCTATTTCTACCAATTCCACCTTTCCTGAGATCCACTGATAATCTCTTTCCTGCTCATTTTCTCTTTCCCTTTCCTTACATTTTTTTAATCAAAATTTTTAATTCTTCTCATTTTTATTTATTTTTATCATTTTTTTAAAGAATTTTTAGTTTTCTATTTGTAATATTTGTTCTTGTGAAGTGCCTCGTGATTTTTATCTCAACCCATTCACTGCCATTGACGACTAAAGTCGTCGTTTGCATTTTTTTACTGTGTGGGCACCGTGAGAACAAACATCTCAACTCTAAAGCCGATCTTCATCCACATAAGTCACGTGATCAGGAAGCAGAAAATCCATGTGTTAGGAGATCGTTTTGGGCCGCTGCTGTAAAAAAAAAAAGAGGCGCAAACCGGAAAAGCTTCTGCCGATCACAATTCAACAACGGATTATGAAAGAACGGATAACGCTCAAAACATGCGGATTCTTCCTGATGTAACAGGCGAGTCTTCGCTTTGTTTTGGTTGTTTTGGCGTCGACATCATCCTAGCGTGCAACGTTCTGTGACTCTTAAAAAAACAGTAAAAACGGTGTGAAACGTTGGCAGCGAAGGGCTTTACCGACCAGGAAACGGCTGGCAGCGAATGAGGCGCTTTATAAAAGATTGTTTCTTCTTCTTGTAGCTTGGAAAAAATGACCTGTATTTGATATACAGTAGCACCTTCTAGAGTCCTAGAACCCCATGACGTGTTAAACCTATTCAGAACAAACGACCGACGTCCCCCCACGACTGACTCCGCCAGCCTTAACTCATTTTCTGGGGGGAACCCTGAGTGCTATTTTACGCATTTTACATGGTAAAACTAGAGGTTGTGATGTAAAAAAATAGAATGAAGCGTTATAATTTGCTCCCATGAACCTGGACCAACTCTTGTTTTAAACCCTTATTTTCCTGGACAAGAAAAAAATGGAATCTGTGCAGAAATGTGGAATACATTTGATTATTAAAAAAGGAGATTTCAGAAAATATTATCTGCATTTGACATGATGACATACCAGATGGTTCAGCTTCATCCACTTCATATACAATAATTTCCAAATAAAGGTCCAAATTGAATGTGTCCATATTCAGAGAAGCCATTGTTTTCAGCCTTGTTATGAATTTTTAAGGTAGAGCTTTACCTTTAGTGTTTATTTACAAATCACACACCATGATTATTTATTGTAAAAAAAAAGTTTTTTTTAATATAAATGGTAGCTACTGGTTGTGTATTCATGCAACAACATCTGACTAGTGTTTAAAATATTTTGAAGCTCTTATCTGCAAACATAAATAAATCATTCTCGATTAATGTACAAATGTGATAGGAGTTTGCACTGGATAGCAGAGTATTTTGGTAGCAAGTGCTGTGCATTTTCAAATCTGTTGGCAAACTCCGTGTGTATGTTTCAGAGGAATGTGTTTAATGTGTAAACGATTCATTTCTACTTGGACTCGAGCCTCTAACAATGAGGGTGTAGAGGGTGAAGATGGAAGGAAACACTCCTTACCCTAATCCCTAGGAGTCCTATTTTAGTCAGGTTTTATGAGGCCACGCCCACATTGAAAGGACCTGGGATAACCATTTAGATCTTAGCTGTGGGTTTATCCAGTGAGTGAAAATCCCTGATTTCAAAGCTATAGGTGTTCTAGCCGCTGTTTCAGAGAAAAGTAATATCTGGGAGCGATTATGTGGTCTGGTCTGAATCAGCCGTCGGTCAGACTGTTTACCTTCCAAATTCATTCCGGCTTGAAGACATTTCCTGAAGCGACATGCTGGACAGTTCTTCCTGCGAATCTTATCAATAATGCAGTCGTTCCTCCCCGCACACAGGTAGTTGTGCTGACCTGTAAAATAAATTGGGATGGGGGAGAAAGGAGGAGGGTGAAGGAAACAATTTAGCTCACCAAGACAGTTTGACTAGGATTAGCCCTGGCAGTCTGTATAACCACACTCACCACCTGTTGATTTTACAGTAAGCCTGCACAAGCTTGTGGCATCCCTGTGATGTTGACGGCTTTGCCCTCTCATGTCTGCACTTGTACTACACGGCACAATGATTGTGTTCAAAGCTCCTCCAATAACACATTGTTCACAAATTCCAAAAATAAGGTTCTGAGCGTTTTTGGAAGCCATCTTTAAACACACTTGCATTGTGCCATTGACAATAATTATGTGGAAAAATAAACCAAAACTGAAGAAGTGATTAGGATTATTGTGAAAAGGAAGCAGTGATAGATTTGTGACCAGAGGGAAGAGGAAATCTGCCTTTTGAATTCCACATTTCCACATCAACATCACCTCCTAATACCAATTTAATACAACTTGTACGCAAATTTGTCAGCTGCTGTGCAACAAGTCAACTAAATAGAGTTTATTATGCATTTGGGAGCTTTTTGCAGCTTTTTGTTGTTGAAAAATAGTATCTGCCACAGTGCGCCACTATCTTGCTTATTTTACACAATAAAAGGAGAAAATTGATCTCGAAAAGCCAGAGGAGTGTCACATGACCCATCTTTAAAAGTAAACTAACCTTTGTGGGTTTACACAAAAACATAATCAGATAGACTAAAATAACCCGGAAATACCCTACACTATACAAACAAATCCACATTCATCTATGAAATTTTAGAGTGAAAGTTGTCCGGCGGCATTCCAACAACATTCACGGCTCTCTAAAATCTTCCCTGATGTGCTATATGAGTCACTAACCCAAAAATAAATAGCTGAGATTATGAAACGCAGTAAAAACATTTGAAATGTATAAAAACACACAACAATCAAGAGCTTTCAGTGGAAATATTTCACTAGATCCTCCCAGTTCCCAGTCCACGTAAACAGGAAGTGATCTCTGTGAAGCTGTAATCGTTTACCTCCGTGGGTCTTGCATCTTACATTGTACTTTTGCGATGACCCGTGTTAGGGTTTATAAAGATCGTGGGTTCCTGAGAAGTATGTTTCAAGAGAAAACGAGACACATTGGAGACATCGAGAGAATTACAAAAGAAAAAAAAAACAGAAACCACAAATGCCGTCAAAAGAAAAATAAACAGGTTTATCTGGACCTGCAAGTATATAGCTGGCTACCCAACAGAGAGGTGATCTGAACTGCATTACGCCTGTGGGGATTTAAAAACTGTTTCTAAAGCAATCCTCACGGTATCATATATCCTTGGAAAATCTCACAAGTTACAATTCCCTGTTATATTTATTATGGAATAGATCTAAGCTAGCAATGTGACAGAATAAAGGACCTTCACATTCGGGATCTTCATAGCAGAAGAAATTAAACAAATAGTTTAATAAATTAATGAATTACTGAAGAGGTAATAACACTTAGCATCCTCATAAATTATTAGAAAATTGACTGTCAAAAATAAAATGTACTCAATGTAATACATCGACTTTCAGAAGTTAAATTGTAACTGGTAATGAATCTGTGGGCAAAAACTGTTCTGTATTCAGCGAGTACAACTGTCCAAATAAAAATGCCTCTAATGTTGGAGTTCAGGGTGTGTTGCCAAAATGCAATTTCTAAACCCTCTGCTTTTGTCTGCCAAGATTTTTGCTGCACCTCACACTTCTCTGCAAGCTAATCCCCAGATAAAGGTTTGGGTCTGTGGTCCAATTCCACTTACCGGTACTTCCACTAGCAATCTTTACTCATAGGCCTTTGTTTTTCTCTTCGTATAATACGTCCTTCTTTTTAGAGAGATCAAATGTCATTGTAATTTAACCATCGTGCCATAATTGAATGGATACAAGACTACCACAGTCTCAAAACAAAGGAGGCAAATTGCAAAAAACGGGGGAGAAGACGAGGTAGTGGTATTGACAGGAAAGTGGGATAGGTTCCTAAAGATCTTAAACATATTCATACTTCAGGGTTGCTTTTTATAGGTCTCGTTCACTGAACAACTGTGTAACACTTGTTCTTTCTGAAATACAATCAGTAACACATGCTGCACGTGAAATTTTCTTCAACGAGCATTTGCCGCAGAAAAGAAAAATATGGTAAATGAAACATGTCAGAAAAGGCCAGTCTCTTCTACGTCACTGGGGTAATTATTATTTATGACTCCACCCACCTTGGCTTGCAACAGCAAAAGGCTTTATTGATTTTGCAACCAGGAGAGAGCAAAACACATCTTGGCAAGTAGAAGCTAAGCTTTAGTCACTGTTCATTGCAACGTCATGCATTATGACAATCACCACAAACGTTCAACTCTTTTAGGAGAAAATGTAAGTAATTACGTGCAATTTACCATCCTGAAACATTCACTGACAAACAATCAAGAAGCGGTTCTTCTATTTAGGGCTGAAGCGAATGATCGCATTATTCAAATTATTTGATTCATTAAGTTCCTCGATTCATTTTTTACTGATTCGAAGCTTCATTAAATGTGCACACTACAGTCTGAACACATTTTACTTGTGCGCAATGTTGTAATCCAGGTGCTGTGGAGGAAAATAGGGGGACCGGCAAAGCCAGAAACCATTGTAAAACCCTAACGGTCCAAAGTTTGGGATCAAAACTACGGGTAGATTGGCTAATGCTAAGCAAGCGCATAGCACGCTCACGAATCACTATCAAGTAGAGTTCAGAAAAAAGCGTGATGGTTGTGAATGACTAAACTCCAAAAGTGGAAGAAAAATCCCCACCATCCCGTTTATTTGTGGATCTCTACAGCTACAGTCGTATGGAGCAGAGCCGCTGCAGCAGCTACCTGAAGTCTGCTCCACACACAGCAGTAGCGGCAAGCCGTTGTAGCATGTAATTCACAAAAGCTTCTATATTTGAATACAATTTAGACTGGATTATGTAGCCCATCTGTACATAATAAAATAGAAATGCCACCATTACATTTTACTAGTAGATATTAAATGTTATTATAATTTCCAGTAGATTACTACTGAACATGTTACTGATCATATGTGAATATATTTAGATATGTTTAGTCTAAGATGAGTGATATCAAACCTAAAATTTTAATGAAATGTAAGTCAAATTTTGTTCCATAAAATTTTTATTAACTGTAAATATCAGCTGGGAAAGAGGGAACTACACAACATCAATTGAATACACCTTGCCAATCCCTTTACCATTTTGTTGTTTTATTTTTTTATAATTTTAACAGCAGACCACAGCCCCATTTCACTTGAAACATCGTCTGATTGATGGACGATTCGATAGAATACTCGAATACTAAAATATTCAATAGCTGCAGCCCTACTTCTATTACTTGTTCCTCCTCAGACAGGAACAAGAAAGTCGGCACACATCACTCCTGTGCTGTTCAAATGACATTGGCTCCCTGTAGGTTTTTGGGCAAAGTTTAAAGTTCTGTGCTATGTCTTCTGGTCTCTTTATAATGGTGCTCCACCATACTTGGCAGCACTAACATAAAGGCATACCCCATCACAAGCTCTATGCTCTGTGAGGTCCAGGTCTAGAGGTGATTAGGCTTTCTCGGTCTTGGCTCCTTCTCTCTGGAATGAGCTTCCACTCGTTATTAAACTGTCACCATCACTGCAGGTAAGCATTTGAAGGCTAATTTGTTATTGTTTGCCTTTTATGTCACTGGGTTTTATGTCTTTATGCTCTTTTTACATTTAATACGTTGCTTTTATCTCCTTTTTGCTGCTCTTCATGTTTTCAGGGTATTTTATGTTCAGCGCCTTGGGCTCCTGCAAAGGCAGTGGAAGGTGCTAAATAAATTAAGGTCGACCGATTGACTCAGGATCAGATAAACATAGCTGAATCTCTGAAGACATTTTGGTTCCGAGGTTGGTTAACGAAGGCAGCGCAAGACTCGAGTTGCTGCTAGCCAATCACAGGCAAGACGTTTGAACATTAATGAGTAAAACTAATAATCCTATCACATAAACTAACCCAAGGAGCACAAAAATGGCTCAGCTTGACTTAGTTTAACAGAAACTGAACTGCAATTTTGTCTGGTAGCTGATATAACAGTAGTTTTTGTATGACATTATTTTGATGTTTGATAAAAAGGGCTATAAATGAGAAAAAAAATGTTCAAGAGTCTGGCATGAAATGGGGCAGGGAATATGCATTTCTGTCATGTAATTTCAAACTTTTCATTTTTAAGGGACAGTAGGCAGATTTGGTTTGCTTTAACACCCTCTGGTGTCCGTTCTAAAATGCTGTTGTAAAAACGAACCGTTTTCCCCTCTTCCTCGCTGTGTACTCGTGTTTTTAAGCCAACTGACCATACGTTAACGTTACATTTATAAACACAAGAGCACTATCATGAGGTCTGCATCAAATTTGATTGTTTTTTTTTTTCTAGGAGCGCTCGCCTTTCAGATAACTCTTTCCTGCGCTATAGTTCTGGTCTCTGTGAGAATGGAGAAGTGAGGACAGAATTTTTTCAGTCAATATAACACATGAATTTTCAGGGAAATTACTATTCCGGGAAGATGGCAGGAAATGGGTAAAATACAGGAGTTTCCCCAACTATAACTGGAATCTTAACAGCTATGGCTCTGAGGTATACATATGGATTGCTGTAAAGCCTCCTGCTTTTTGCAAGATACGTGACATTGCGAAAACTCAAGTTCCAAAGGCAGTATTCGAGGTTGAAAGTGACTGTAAAGGGTCATTTTAGCACCTACTGGTTCATGAAAGTCGTTTAATAAAATAACAAAGTTACTTAGTGTACCTTTAACTGTGAATACCAAACAAAGCTAACCTTAACTGACAAAATCACCAGCAAACAGAATCTGGCACACTAAGCAAATTATTAAATTAGCTCAATGATGCCAAAACCAAATGTACTCTGGAGTCTGGATGGAGTCAACACATCCTTTAATTTTACCTAAAAAGAAACAAATCTGTAGATTTTAGCATGAATGTGTATAAGCAAAGCTGATCTTTTCATTACTTGGCCCCAAGCTTCATTGTGTCTATAATTAAACTATAATAATATATTTAATACTAAACATTTTTCACATTCTAGACAGAATGGACCTGAGTCGGCATGGATGTTGGTGTGGAGACCAAACGAGGATAGGGCTGCCATTTACAGCCATCAGTGATGTAACAGGATGTCATTACAAACAGTAACGTAAACAGCCATCTGTGGTGTCAACTACGCCAGCTGAGTCCCTTATCCGGCCCTGATCTGCTAACAAGAAGCCCTTCAACTCCAGTTTTATAAAGCACCTCTTTTTAGTTTATTAACCAAAACTAGAATGAAGTAGTTTTCTCTCTGCCTTTTTGACAAAAAAGTAGTTTAAATCTGATCCAGGTTGTTCTCTTCAACAGAAATTACTCAGAAAAAAGTAAACTGAGCAGCATGGCACGCGTCTTGATTGTTAAACCAACATTTGAACATCAATTGCAAGAAAATATGAAATGTATTAATTAGAATCCTAATGAATTGGAGCATATGGTACTTTGTCTTAATCTGACTTGTGTGGAAAAAAAAAGAGAGAACCCTTACTAATGCAAAGTATTTGCAGGGATCTCAAAATGAAATGTAATACCTTTAAGACTTTTTAAAATAAAATTAGGACTTTATCGCAATGAACTAATCAACCATTAAATGCTGATATATTTTTAAATCCTTCATTGCTTCGTTTTCCACTTTATCAATTGAAACATCCATCCATCCATTTTTTTTACTTGCTTATCCACGCAGGGTCATGGGGGGGGCTGGTGCCTATCTCCAGAAGTCTTCGGGCAAACAGGCGGGGTACACCCTGGACAGGTTGCCAGCCTATCGCGTTGTCTTGGTAACATATAACCATAAAAATTGGGTCTAAAATACACGGGAGCAGGTCTAAGTCTCTGGGCGATGCCATATTAGACACTATGTTTCTTTCTATGGGAGCCAGTGAGGACAAGCCATTTACTGATTAGTAACAAACTGTTAGAAAATTTTTGAAAATTCATGATTACCGTTTTATACATTTACCTCCTCACTCGTCAGTGATGAAAGGTGCTTGCCATTTTGCTGGAGGTTGCACTCCCAGGGATTTTTGACCCTAATGGCCATCCGTTGGTAAGGTCTTACTCAAACACAAAAATACTGCTTGCTTGCAATGATTTAGGTATGTACTGCCCCCTATCGCCAGGGAAAATGCACACAGTCACTTTAAATAATTGCACTTAATTTCCTTGTTCAGGTGGAATTGTGTTTATATGAAACAGCAACAGCCTAATGTTTGGAACCAAACCCACATAAACTGCTCAATGATGAGATGAAAAAAAAATTGCAATGCAGGAAATACTTGGGAAACACCAAGCTGTTGAAATCCTGTGATGAAATTCAGAGTTGTAACAGATTTTTTTTAAAAAGGAGAATTGAATCAGCAAAGTAATATTGACAATGTGATGCAACTAATCTGTGCCACTATGTAAGCAAATACGCAAACATCATGTAAAAAACTAGCAGACACCTGAACACGACCAAAAGGAGGCAGATCTCACAAGTGGACTAAATGCAGAAATCTCAAGTGAAACTGTGAGAGAGCAATTTGGGGATCTACCACCTGCGAGGAGAACAACGTGAAGCATTCCAGGCAGAAACCAAAGAGCACAATAATCATCCACAAGCTAGTGATGTTGATTTGAATCACCAGTTCAGAAAGTCGACATGCATTAACAAAAGTTTGCAGAGGAAGAATGTTTTTGTGTCTAGACAGGGAGAGGAGCAAATCAGATGTGACAGTATGTTCATTAAACTCATAATTATTATTGCTGTTATTAAAAGTGCATTTATTTACCATCTGTGTTTTGTCGTGCTCTCCATCCTTCACCATACAGATAAGGAGCAGAGAACAGAAAGGTGGGTGGGGGGGAGAAAAACAAAAATGACACACGTAACTTTTCACAGTGCTAGTGTTCTTTTCAAAATAAAAGCTACACTTCTCGGTGATTACACCAGCACTACATGTTTTAAATGCCAGTAAAAACAATCATGCAAGTGTACAAGCTGCAATGTAGCAGATATCGGAATACTAAAATGTTGTTTTTACAGTCAAAAGATAATTTTCAGACCTTTTTATTACATTAGCTTCCACAAAATTTGAATTTAGTCCTTTTGTTTGCTGAGAAAGGAACATTTTTCTTTTTGAGTACTCAGACCCTTTCCTCAGTATTTTGGCATTCATTTGGTGGTACTTCCTCGTTCTTCTCGACAGAGTGGTTCAGGCTCAGCCAGGCTGTTGCAAGTCAGTTCAGGACTCCCTAAAATGCTCAGTTGAGTTTAGATTCAGGCGGTTTTTCTTTTTGTTTTCTTTGAAGTGCATGTTTTCTTTGCAAAATATGAACTCTGACCAAAATCTGAGAAACTGAGAAGCTCTTGGTAATGGCGTTAGGTTAGGAATGCTACATACGTGGATCTTTTCCCAGCCAGCAATGCTGGAAGCGATGTGGGAAATGTTTTCTTGTGCACTCTTTAGGAGTATTGGAATAGCTTGAGTTTCAGTTTTGCCATACAGGTACTGCTTGATGACCAGTGGCTTGTTAACAAGGACGTCTGTAGATGTTTGAGTGCTGCAGAAATATTCTTGCACCTTTCCTCAGATCTGAGCTTTGACAACTCTGTAATGCAGGTTTACAGACAGGTTTCTCAACTTCCTGGTTTTGTTCTTAAATTTGACACGCACAAATCAGTACTAAAGAGACTAAAGCATCAAAACAAGGACTCTGAATACTTGAAAGATTATTCCAATCATAATTTTAATATTCTGTGGAATAATTTGTCAAAACAATAGAAAATTTGGGTTAAGATGGAGCATTTTTGACTGTAAAAAAACATTAAATCACGAGTCCAGAACATAAATTTAGCAAAATTTGACAACTTTCAGTAAGCACTCTTACATACTTGAATCAAAACCAGCAAAGTTATGGTTTGACATGTTTCTGACTTCTATTAAAAAATTGCCATGTTATTATCCTGCTGCAGAAGTCCAATAATCCTGCAATATTAAGAGCAATGATTTACTGACAGCATGCTTGCACACCAGCTGTTGCTTCACTAACAGCAGTAGTTACTGCTAAAAGAGGAAACAGATGCACTAAACAAAAGAGAAAGACATAAGAACCAGGCAATCTTATCTAAACTGGAGAAATCAACAAAAAGCAGGAGATTCGTATATTTAATCTGTTTGCATAGAGTACTGTGTCAGGATCAGGTCAATTAGAATTAGAAAGCAGCTTGTTTATTGTCCGTCAAGGCTCTTGTGCCGAGAGCTGACGAGTACAAGTGATCAATTGAGAGTAATGAAACCTTCAGAAAGTAATGATACCACATTAGCAGAAACAGCTTGTACACGAAAAGAAAATGGCAAAAAACACAGAGACAGAGGCAGAGAAATCCAAGACAAAACGGCTTCAAGCACAAGTACTTTTCATTTGCCAAAAGCAGTTCTCTTTGTTCCAATCTCAAGATTTTATGATTCAAGAAAATCATCTTTATGCACAAACTATTTGCCTGTGACAAGGAATGAATACTCTCTTAGAAGATGTAACATCTGTGCAGAAAAGGAAGTGAAAGCCCACATGAGAAGTTCCATATAATATCCCTGATAAGACGGTATTGTGAAAATGTATGATTTATAGAAGTGGTGATACTTTTGGACAGGGCCCTTTACTCTGGAAGTTTTCATTGGTTAAAATCACGTTTAAGTATTTTCACCTTTAGCACAGGTCAAACATGAAAGGGGAAAAAGAAAAGTAGGAAGATCTAAAGAAAAAAACTATTACTCTAAACTTCAAAAACATACAAGTACCCTTTTTTCTGTTTTAAAGTTGAATATTACAAAATATTCAAAGTTTCTACAGCTTAAAAACTATGGAATGAACACGTGAAACTATGGAATTCTGTAAATGTTAAAAAGGGATATTCTACCTCAAAATTAAAATTAATCTGTTTCCATATTCCCCAGAGTTAGATAAGTGGGTAAATCATTTTGTAACCAGCCCAGTCATTCTGCTAATCTGGCAGTATTCTGTTAGCTTTAGCTTAGCATAAACAATGTAAGTGAAAGGTAACTGTTAGCATTTCGTGTGAAATGGTAAAGAAAATGATTCAATAATGATTTTTTTCTTGGTGACCTCAATAATTATATCGATTGCAAACGAAAATAGTAACAAAAAGGAATTACAGGAGCTGATTTAGACTCCAGACTACGTTCCAACAAAGCACCGCTGTAAGGTGCAAGGACAAGTTGCAGTGGCCCAAAAAGACCGCTACTTCTGTAGACACAATTGCATGAGTTGCACTGAGGTTTCACTATCGTAGTTTGAGTACTTTACATTTGTAATGCAAGAAAATGGTTCTTGCGCTATTTCACTTACATGTCATTTATCAATTTACCGTTTGTTTGTCGTAATGTAGCCCAGTCTAAAACGGCTCCTGTAATTCCTTCGTGTCACTTATTATTTTCATTTGCCATTGATATGATTATTGGGATTAACACAAAAAAAATAATAGGATCATTATTGAGTTATTTTGATGACTTTTTTACACTAAATGCTAGTTGTTACCATTCACTTACATTGTTTATGCTAAGCTAAAGCTAGCAGAATACTGCCAAACGGGAGAATGACTAGGCTGGTTACAAAATACTTATTCCTGTCTATGTAACACTGTAAAATATAGCTAAGACATTGAACATTGGGGTGGAATATCCCTTTAATCTTTCATGGATATGGGTCATCCATGGTGTGTCACATCTGAAGCAATCAGTGGCTCATAATGGGAAAATGGACTAGAAGACGAGTGAGACCAACCTTCGACAGCCCTCTTGAAGAACACCTTGCAGCTGCCACAGGTTACCACTCCATAGTGGCATCCAGAAGCTTCGTCTGAGCACACCAGACAGATCTTATGGCTCTGCCCGCTGGGTTTAGATGGGCCCGCCACTGTAGCATTGCTGCTGCTGCTCTCTCCGGTTCTGGGTGATGAACTGAATTTTATACAGAACACAGAGAAAAACAGACGACAGTGTGATAAGTTTACAGGTAAGGATAGAAGTATGACATTTGGTTTGCAAAAACCTAAATAAAATAACTAAAATCATATTTTATTCATATTTCGAGCAAAACATTTGATGATGTTTCAGCAGGGTGGAGTGAAGTCTTGTTTCCAAAAAAGTCCCCCTTTTTTAAATATGACACAATTAATAGTTGATTTAATTCTGATGAGCTCAGCGTTTGCCTTCTCACTGGTGTGAAAGCAAAAAAGCCAAACAGAATTACGATCATCAGATTTCTGGGCAGGAGTTAAGCTTTAAATCTCAGACTACGCCTGTAATTGTTTGATAATCTGAGTTAGCTCATGCCTAAATCCCCTCAAGAAAATTGTATACACAATTGTAAATGTTTTTTTTTATTCCTCTCATAATTAAGATAACTAAAACACGTAAAGATTTAAAATCTACCAATACTAACTCCGGTGTAGGTGGAGCATCAGCATGTGAAACGAGGGCATCTGAGGAGCGACAGCTCGATAATTCAGGACAGGAATTTCACCGTGTTCAACAGGCTTTAGTTGCCTTTGGTTTGTTTGTTTTGGGAGGTATGCGCAGCACAACCATGTAGCTAAGCTTGATAATTATTTCTGAACTTTGTTCTATATTTATCTCAGTTCTGATGCAGAAGCTGCAGCTTCATTTAACTCATACTCCAGTTTGTTGACTTCCATTTCAGACTCAAGTTCAAAGTCTGAAAAAGAGCAAACCTGCTGATCTGTTCGTCTCGTTGACCAAGACCCAGCCCCAATCCTATTTTCAAACGACTTCCAACGCTTGGCGGTTGGAAAGCTGACACCTGCTTATGTAAACCGGACTGGAACCAAGCAGAGCAGCAGTGTCGGGTCTTGCGAGACATCCAGATAAGATGTTTCTTCATCCTAACAGTGAACGAGTCATGATCCCTTAAAGCCAGGCTCAAATTGTGAGAGATTCTGAATGCGAATCTTTTATCTTTGACCATTTCTTACTGCTAAATATACAACCATACCATTTTGCAGATCGTTTATTCAGAGGAGGCAAGGTTATTGGGGGAGTTTTTTTTCTAAGAGTCCCAAAGATGGCATGACGTGGATCAAAAAGTAGAAATCTATTATCTTTGAACAAAATGAAGCCTAAAAATAAATGGCTTGTTCTACAAGTGAGTGCACTAAGGACACATTTAAGAATCTTAGCTCAGTGAACCCAAACAAAATACTCTTAATACTCCTGCACGAAAAGTGCAAACCACACCCTCTGACCTCAGAACAGAGATGACTGAATCTTGAAACTTAAAGAACCACAACCTTTAACTGCTCTTCCTTTCTTCCACAAATATCAGCCTCAATAGCAATCAGGTTTGGTGGAGTTTATTCTTAGACAACCTGACACCACAAATAAAGAAAACTACAGTCTGCTACCTAACCGGCTGTCTAATATCATGAAAGTCACCTTTATGCCTCTGAAATAGCTCCGACCAATCAGAACACTGAGTGGTGACCTTTATGTTGTGTGTGTGTTGTGGGAAGAAGCCCTCATGGACTGGATGGGTTTCACAGATGCTTGATCGGATTGAAAGCTGAGCATCTTGGAGATCAGGCCAGTGAATGAGGTCTTCTTTGTTTTATTTCTGTCCAGCTGTTCACAAGCAAAGTTTGCAGCCGCAGCACAACAGAATTGTCACCGATACTCTTGGTTTCACAAAAGGTTTCGCTGTTGCAGCTAATCAGGATTTATGATTACCTACTTTACATTGCAAGCTATTCATAGTAAACGGGCATGCTCTCATGTGTTTTCTATTGATAATTCCATGCATCTTTGATCAGATTAAAGCGAAGATGCTGAGTTACTCGATCTGTGAAAGCTCCCTCTAGGCTGCTCAAACACTGCCTGAGAAGTGGGAGTATGTGTGATACTACCAGCATGAATTTTGACAGACAAGTTTAGGAAATCACACAGCATTAGCTGCGAACTGGGTTAGATATTTTGTCTTTTTTTAACAGCATAAGATGGTTAAGATGGATAAATGAGACTTAAGGGTGTGCATTAAGGCAGGGTTTGTCCTGCGTTCAAATTTGCGTGGCGGCCGCCTCCAGCTAAATTTGTGCCACCCCAGCCTGATTTCATTCTGATCCAAGCTATATGGATGTTATTTTAACTGTAGTTGCAGCGCTGCACCACTACCGGGGCACTGTATCAGCGGTGCACTGAAAAGCGCCAAAACTGCTGCAGAATAAGATGAAAAATTGCTTTTCTCACTAGTTGGTACATATCTATGGCTGGTGCTACTGACGTCCTGATTTTCCCCCAGGCTCTTCCATATCTGAGCAGGGCTGTACAGTGGGACGAAAAACGCTGTCTGTGCTTGTCTGTCTATTTTTAAACATAGCAGTGGTGCAACATCTTTGAATTACTATTTTCCCCAGAACTTTATTGAACAAAATTAAGCTATGTGTAAGAAAAACGCTTTTTACTGGCGCACAGTGTGGTAATCTGGATGCAGTGGAGGAAAATAAAGGAACCAGCAAAGGCACAAAGGCAGAACCAGTCCAAAGTTTGGGATCAAAAGTGCAGCTACACACAGATTGGCTAATGCTAAAGCTAACGGGTAGCAGTCTCATGATCAAGTGGCGCACAGAAAAATATATGATGATCGTAAAACTAAGAAAGACTAAACTCTACAAGCGGATGAAAAGTCCCCACCATCCTGTTTATTCTGCATCCTGCAGCGCTACGGATCAGAACCGCTGCAGATTCGAGTCACATTACTGCTACAAGTCTGCTCCACACACTGGAGCTGGAAGTACAGCAAGCCGTTGGAGTATATAATTCACAAACGCTTCTATCTTTGAACATAGTTTTAACTGGATTATTGCCAACCTGTACATAATAGACATGTCACCATTACGTTGTTAGCAGCAGAAATTAAATGTTATTACCATTTTCAATACAAATGCATGTTAATGAAATTCATTATATTTTACTGGATATATTTATGTGTTATTTTTACTAAGATGAGTGTTATTACTACAAACCTAAAATGTTACTGAAATGTAGGTCAGATATTTAAAAATATTTTAACTATAAATATCAGATGGAAAAAGGGAACTAAACACCAATCTAATGCATATTATTGAGCCTTTAATAATAAGAGTCTTGTTATTTCAGCCTGATCATTTTGTTGTTTTATTTCATATTTTTAGCAGCAAACCAGTTTTGTTTCACTTGAAACGTTGTCAAATGGAGTGTTCAATTAATCAACAGAAGCTTAGATTAGAACACTTAACGAAAAAATATGTTGCGTTGAAAAAAGTGAGGCAGTGGTATGCACCGAGTATGCATGTGCTGGCGCCTGGTCAGGATGGTAGCACCTCTGCCTCAATTTGAGCCAGGAAAAACCCTGCATTAAGGGTTCAAATTTGTTGAGGAGTTTGTCAACTTGTCACCTTTTCTTGTGGCTTCTTCTCACAGAGAAAACTCAAGTGAATTGGAGTGTGTCATACAAACCAGGAGAAGAGGTTCCAGCTGCTGATTGGTCAAATGCGTCTGTGGGTGGGACTAACAGAAGTAAATACAGGAAGAGGATTACGTTGTTTGAGACTGAGCTAGTCAACAATACAGAGAATTTACTCCTGGTCAAATTGTAAATGATGGATATTTTTGGCTTCTCTACAGAGTACGCTTAAGGTTCAGTGATGTATACAATTTTTCCAAATACTCATGATAGGCCTTATATTTGCGCTGGTGGTGTTTAGATGTATTATGGGCCTGACACACACTGATCAACTAACCACAATGGTTACTTGTGGAAGCAGGCCATGAGAGTTCCTCATGTTTGATAGTTGTTTTTTGAATTTCATTGGCTATTCGCAATCAACAAAATACCACGCCACAATTGATTTGCGCTTCACATGAGAATAGGGGACAGCACTTTTGTACTATCAGCCAACAGTTGAATATTTAACCTCGGCAGAGGGGGCAAGCCTTCGTGTATTGGTTTAGGTAAGACGTCACTCAAGATTTTGAAGGTAATATGAGGATGCTTATAGAGGTTATGATGAGAAAGAAATGCATTGGAAGGAAATTTTTTTTATGTTTTCAGCAGTATATTTTGTTGGATTGTGCATGTTGGATTATCTATCTATCTATCTATCTATCTATCTATCTACCAACAAGACTAGTGGACAACTTTATTGGAGCACTTTTACTGGTTCTGTGTGGATGTTTGGCTATCTGAGGGATTTCACAAAGTGTTTACTGTCACAGCAGTTATAGTTGTATTCTTGATTGGCATACATCTTTGGAATCACAATAATTCTAGCTTTCTAACAATGTTTAATAAGTCTTCTCCTGTGTTGGTTATCCCGAGTAAGAGATGTTTAATAAGTATGTTTACATAGATTGAATGCTGCAGAAGGACTTGTAATTTCCCATCTGTAAGACTAATTCAAAGGCATACAAAAATTGCTTGTAAAAATAACAATTGGTGAAGGGGTCAAGCTATCACCAATGGTTGGCATATTCGCCCAATCACCCAAACTGCACCAGTTTGATTTAAAACAATTCTATGGTGCTGACCCAAGGTTTGACACAAACTCTGATACTAATGAACCTCAGTATGGAGTTTGAATAAAACGTTCATAAATTCCCTTTTTTCACCACACACATTTGTTCATATGCTGAGCAATAAATGTAGGTCAAATCTTTGAAGTGGGTGTCTGTGGAAAGGTTATGAACAATTAATATTTTACCAGCAATAGCACTTTGAACCTCAGTTTGGAGAGATGGATTAGCTCCAACTGGACTGACGAGGCTAATCTAAAGTGGTCCAAGACCAGCATATTAACTGCTGTCCTGAAACAATGCTAATCTCAGAAATTTCCTATCTGTCTATGCAAACACCATTTTGCATATTAACATATTTTATGGTTGTTTGCCAATACTAGCAGCAGAAGCAG